ATTTTATACTGAATATATTTTCACATAATCAATTACCTATATATATACTTATATAGAATTCTACTGTCATTATTATTGATAAATAAAAATTTGATATGTATTTGTTACCTGAATTTTTTTTCTCTAGCCATTTAAAAAGACCTGGAGGATTGAAACGAAAATGGAAGTCATTGACTTTTCTATGAATTATTTCTCATCATTTGTATTTCTTTAGTCGGTTGTTTTCAGCTCACCCGAACCTTCGATTTTCTGACCACCTATCATCCGTGTATCTGTCAGTCAATTTGTTACGTTTTCAATCTTTGACTTCTTCGCGCCAGAACGACTCGGTAAATTTTAACTAAACGTGCTACAAAGCATTCTTGGGTGAAAGTTTTTTTTTTATCAGATGTCGGATCATGCCCTTTTTCAAGGGGATATAGTTAAATAATAGTTATAAACTGGGGGACTTCCCAAGAACCACCAAGCCAAGGTAGGCAAAACTTACGTGAAACGTTTCTGATTAGATTCATTTATTCAAGGCCCCTAATAGAGTTGGGTCACAATAGAGGATCAAAGTTTTGAAATGTTAATCTGTTACAGATCCCACTAATACTGAATTCAATTAACCATCTTTTGCAAAGGAAATTCTTTAATCAATGAATTTCAGTCCTTTCTGTAACAATCATGGAGGCCAAGCGTTTTGTTATAGTATTGTAATATGTTCTGTTTATTCAGTCTAAAGCTTTATCAAAAACACATACTAAAATGTAAATTTTCTTTATGTTACAAACCCATTGTTTGAGTGCACAATATTCTTACAAGAATTTGAAGGATTTCTTCCTTTTCCATTTGATGTTACACGTCCATATTTTAGGAGAGGCAAACTTTATTCTACTTTTCTATGATCTTTCTTTACTCCATATCGCCGAAATATGGCTGAAATATTGCCGACTCGGCGTTAAACAATAGTAATCTTTACCTTATATGTAATCGAATGTAAATTAATATACATGCATTTAAAAAAACACTGACAGGATATACTTTTCAGGCATCATATGAATTTATCTTTGTTGCTTATCAATGTTTTTTTTCTGTATGTCTTGCCTCTTCCCTTTCCCCTATTCTATACACTTGCGTAGGAATATATCCATGGGACAAGCTCATGTAATTTTTATTGATTTTCAAAAGGCATATTATCGTACTGAGGTCCTATTGAACATGAAATAAAAGACACCACAGAGTGGGACACATTTAACTGTTTTACTAGAGAAAGACACTGATGGTAATCTCAAAACCAAACTTTATGACAAACACGACGACTTCAACTTTTCTATCATCAACTTCCTTTATTTGTGTAGCAAGATTCCATAATCACCTGCATAAAGTGTTTATGTCTCCAAGTTGATTCAGTCAGCAAACAAACATAAAATAAAGCAAGGAAGCTACTGACATTTAAACTAAGTTAATCGATGATACAAGGGTATCAACTATTGCAAACATTTTACAAATTCTACATTCTATCCGTCTTCATTCTATACAGTGACCTTGTTTTCATTTTGTCGTTAGACAGGCCTTAAACTGTCAAAATCCTGGAATTTGAGTGTTCAACCTTACAGCAACAAAATGTTGGGGGAAGGGTAACCTGCACCTAAATGAAAATTTAGCAAAATACAATGTGGGGAGGGGGCTCCCCCTCCCCCCACCCCACCCCCGTTCTACGGGCCAGTTAAGTCAAATGTTCACTAATTTTTGTTTATATATATACATGTATGTTAGTCCATTATCCCTTCTGATTTCTCCATTCACCTTATAAGGGACTCACAGCGGGTGTGTTACAACGCAAAATATAATAAACAAGCAAACTATGACTGAGATCAACTGAGATTATTATATTTTGCGTTATAACATTTTGAGTCGAGATCAACGCAAAAAGAGATAACGTAAAATGTAAAATACACACTTTTTAAATTTTTACAGTTTGAGTAATTAAGTTTTTGTGTCGCGGTCAACGCGAAATGTAATAATACAATATGTAAAAGCACACTTTTTTGATTACTACATTTTGCGTTATTACATTTTGCGTCGAAGTTAACACAGAATGTAATATCTCAGAATGTAATGATCGCTTATTATTTAGCAAATGCATTTATCGTAGAATGTGGGAATAAAATATTTTGCAATCAATTTTTTTAGTGTAATTTTAACTTCAAATAAAAAAATATTCCTACAATACCTGTCTGTATACATTTTACATTGATCCCAATGCAGAGTTTCCTAAAAGAAAATGTCAAAATCTTTGTTAGTAGTTTCCTTAAAAAAAATAACCACATTTTCAAACTTTTGGAAGTTTGATCGTTTTGAATCATTATTCTTTATACCTAAAATTGTTTTTTTTTTTAAATAAATAGAATATGTTTTGATTTTATATACAGCTTACATGTATATGCCAAAGCGTTTCTGTTATATTGTAAATTCAACTTGTTGAGCCTCGGGATATTGTTTCTTCCTGAATTTGGATGGATAAGTTTTTACATCTAGTTACACAAGTGATTATTCTAATTGGCGTGTAAATTTCGGTACAGAATGTTAGGAACACATTTTGAATTTACAAGTATTTATATTTTTAATACCATATATTATTGACAGATCTTTGAAACATCAGGAAATGATATATAAAATAGTCTCAATTATTATATAAATTCTAAAAATAAATCCAAAGAACAACATTAAAAACGCAAAATTTAAAGAGCCAAAAAGTGTATCATTGCATTTTCTTTATTACATTTTACGTTGATCTCGCAAAATGTAACAACTCCAAATGTAATCATCCAAAAAGCGTGTCATCACATTTTGCGTTATTACATTCTGCGTTGTTTTGATCGCGACGCAAAATGTAATAACGCAAAATTTAATAATCTTACGAGGGGTTATCAAAAAGTTCGTGGACTAGCGCCATAAAATTAAAACCGCTTCAGGTACATCAATGAATTTTTACACATTTAATTAGCATCATCTTTTCTACCTATAGAATAAACCATAAATCATCAGTTTTATTTTTTAATAAATTGTTAATGTTTTTGTAAGCAATGGTATGTCCAGGCGGCGCAATCTCAAATATGACTTTTTTCCTACCTGAGTGTAACTGAGAAAAACTTTTTAGATATGAGCATTTGTCATCAAAATATATTGTTAATTCGGGCATGTGGTACGATACAATTGTTCCGTAAAATTTGCAATTTTTACCCCATTCTGTAAGTTCTATGAAATTTTATCGTAAATTTTATATGGAGTGTCCAGACAATTATGGGCTTGAAATGACGTCAAAAAGGGGAGGGTTTCTTTTTCCAACATTCTATAAAGTTTCGCTCCTGGAAAAACTGGTATAGACCTAGGGAATGTTTAAACGGGCTATAGAAAAATAAAATGCATCGAGAGTACTTGTTTTTAAATGCCTAAAATGATTCAGAGAAATGAAAGATGCACAGTTAGTGTCCATTTGTAGTCAGGGAGTCAAAAGTCAGTCACGTCGAAAGGTGACGATCATGTGTGGTAGAAATTGAACTCCAACAATCTAAGTATTCTGACATAATCAAGTGAGGATCTTTCCCTATGTATAGATCCATTTACAATATCATATGCATTGAAAGCAGCTGTTCATGACATTGTAAAGTCATATAAACAAGACGGGCTTAAGTCCTTACTTAACTCCAGGTAATCTCATCAAGATAAGTGTATGAGGTAGAGAGAGCGTACATTGAGAAACAATGACATTTGTCGGACGTCATGAAACTGAACGGCGACAGCGCCGGGTGATCATATAATGTCTTTTTTATTTTAGAATTATTTGGCAAATAATCAACGTATCAAGCTAAAATTTTCAACATTTCATAAACTTTTGTTGGTTTATGTTCCTTATAAATTTTATAAGCATAGACTACATAGTATTAATTTTATTGCATCAGTCCACGAACTTATTGATAACCCCTCGTAGTTTGTAATATTTTGCATCGTTTTTACATTTTGCGTTGTTACACGGATATGACTAGTCGACAAGGGATGCTTACTTCTCCTTGACACCCTGATTGTACCTCTGATGTTTTCAAAGGTCCGTGTTTCCCATACTCATAATTTGTATTGTTTTAATCGACCATTGAACAAGAATACTGTTTATGTTCACATTTTTCCTAGTCTAGATAGCTCGTCTGAAAAATGATAAGAAAAGTTAGCTGGCAGCTGGTTTGTTTTTTATGCGACATTATTGGAAATGCATATAGCATTTAAATTTCATTCTTTCAAAAAGATTTTGTTAAATTTCTATATTGCACATGTTTTCACTTATTCAGTCATGAAAATCATGCAATTAGCTTTTGTCTCATAATTACATAACCCTTATTATCTTAAGCTGTAAAATGGGTTAGCATACCTTTGAAAAGTTCGAGTATTTTCATGCCCTCATAATTTGAAAAAAAGTAGTTTCGGTCAAAGTCAGCCATTTTAGTCGGACAGATTATTTGGAAACTATTTGACCCTTCTGAAAAGATTTCACGTTTAGTCCAAACATTCCTTATTGAAACTGGCATGCATTTATGCCCGTAGATATTTGTGCATCCAAGTAATGATGCGATCTTTATGTTAAAAATATTACATGCCTTTTTTAGGGTAACGTGAATTTGTTATCCAGCGAAAACCATTTTTAAGCGAGGCGAAAACAATGGTTTTTGCGCGATGTTACCCTAAAATAATAATCTTTTTTTATACTGAATGTATTTAGAATAAAGGAAAATGTCACGGTGAATCGTACGTGCCAACGTTCTGCGCGTTTAACAATTTTTAAATTGTTACCCACATTTTCAACTATACGATGTAATGTTACTCGGAGAGAGTGGTTTCTTCACTTGGAAGGGGACATGTTATACTTTTTAACAAATGCGCAGGTATGTTAAGGCAGTACCCAGATCATATTTCGGCGAATTTAGACTTTTTTCGTAAAATGTAACATTGATAAATCGGAAAAACCATAGATAAAACATTTACTATTATTATCCATTGTATGGACGTCATTGAGTCTAAGGCTAAAAGAAGCACTCCACTACGACGTCATCACGTGACGTCTATAAATAGAAAAATTGCCTTAATGAAAAAATGAAAAGTTCAACACTACCCCAAAGATAATTCATTTCTTTTAGTGAAAATAATTATGTAAAAACATCACTGGGCCATGAAAAGTGCTGCTAGAATCCTACTCTCCTGACACAGAAAAAAATATTCCAAAGTTTCGCATGAAACCTTACCAAAATTTTTACATTTTATACATACGATCAAGGAATTTTTATCAATTCATGTTAACCACACGATTCTAGCAGCACTTTCCAAGTACTATAGAATACAAGCTTTCGTTACAAACAAAAAATTATGTTTCAACGTATGCGGCGTATTGTTGAACTTTTGCATCTTTGTTGTTATAGAACGACAGAGGAACGGCTGATCGGGATTTCAAAGCACTGACTGTGTTCATTATAAGAAAACATGATAAGAATATATCAGCGTACCTGATTCTTAATCTTTCATTCCTTATGAATCACACTTAACATTCACGGTATATGCCTTAAAACTCCCATTTCATATATTTGTTTACATGAATTCTCGTCACCTTTAATTTCACTCGGCAAATATTTGATCAATAGTTATGACGTCATGGGTTTGGTATTTAACCCCCGTGCTAAATAATTAGCTATTTATACCACCCAAAAACGACAAGAATTAGTTTATATTATGTTTTGAATGATTCCCTTCTTTTCTTGGACCTGAAATTAAACTTTAAAGATAGATATTAAGAAATCATTATTTCTAAGTTCACGTCATACAGCTTACTATGACGTCATATTGTAAAGGCAAGTAGGATATCTCTGGGTGTAGCCTTAACATACCCGCGTGTTTTAAGCCAATCAAATTTGACTATTTAACAGGAAAATATAAAAATTGACAATTAGAACCCTCTGTACATCATTTTTGATATACGATTGGTAATTAATAATATTAATAATAATAATAATTTGTTTTTGGTTTTCTGACCAAGTTATTTGAAATTATATTAATTAGATAAACATTTTAATCAGCCCCCAAGACAGTAAACTGAGAACAGACTTAAGTCAAAATTTCAAATCAATATAACGTTTGAAATAATTTTGATAATGAAACAAAGTGTTCATCATATATTTGAACTTGAATTTAATATTAACCTGCAAATTTCTGAGAACCTATGTTAAATAAAACTTAAGATATTCAAAATCTAAATTTTGACTTAAGTCTGTTCTCAGTTTATGGTCAGAAAAGACAATTAAATCATTGCTTGAGAAGAAAGTCGGAAATAAGCAATAAAGAGTTACTCTCAATTTTATATAAAATGAAATATGAATCCAGACTACTTCGGTCAAAAAGCTCTCTGGTGCTACTTTTTCATCATCGATCAATTAATTAAGTTTATTTTGTATTCTTTTAATGGTTTCTTAGCACTAAATGAAAAAAAAGAATGTAGATAACGAACAATGATCGATTTAAAAAAAACGTACATAAAATACAAATATGTGAACAGGGCATAAAACAAGGACCCATGCAAAATCCATCTGTCTAGGAAGAGTAGGCATCCCCTGTCGACCGCTCATACCCACCGTGAGTCCTATGTATTGATCAGGTAGAAGGAATATGCTATTGTAATATTTAGTCAAAAGAAAAAACCCACAAAACAAAGCATTGCAATTAGCATGAAACAATTCCATCGAAATACGAACCAATGATAGGTTATATTTGTTAATAACAAGGTCATTATAACTACCATAGAATTTTCGAAATGTTTAAACAAGGTTGTTAAAATTCCTTATCTGTCAGTACTCTTCCTCGGATTAAACATTGATTGTATTAGGACATACTCTTGAGTATAGAATCAGCTGGGAGAAAGAAATATCATATGCAGGTGATAGTGGGATATTACTACATAAATAAGAGAAGTTGAAAAGCTGAATTCATCTCTTTTGTCATGTAATTTTTTGTTGATTTTACTGACTTTTGAAAAATCTTTTCAAAATCTTTTCAAAGTCTTTCGAAGTTTTTGAGAAACTGCATTTGATTTACACCACTTCTCAAATATCCTGTAGCACAGAACGCCTGAAGGTTTTGCTATACAGTAGTTTATAATTTTGTGAGGAGTAAAGATAAGGGCTTGGAAGAGCATATGCTAGACCCTGCAATATGTCTTTGTAAAATGATGTACAGATCTAGATTTTGGCAATAATATTGAATATATGATATTTATATTAAAACATACTACTTGGATCAAAAGGGGGGCAGACGCGATAAACTCTAGCACGATAAAAAATATATCCGCCTCGATGTAGATCGATTGCTTATATCTATCTGGAACACATCATCTATACAGCTAGTGGGATCTCAGTGGGAGTTATAAACTTAATTTATGTCGTCTTCGTGAATTTAATTTCTAAATTGATATATACATAAAATGAAAAAAAGGTCAATTGGTTTATTGTCATTCTTGCTTAATGAGGCAAGTATTAAATTAAATGTTACTGGAAAGAATATTGAAAAAATCCATGAAAACCAAACGTACAAATAATTGTTTAATACTTGATTTGTAAATGAGTTTGCTTCCTTGTGTAAACCAATTTTAAATCTCGAATTTAACTTTATGTTTTATTATTGTTTATAAGAAATTTGGAACAGTTGTCTGAATTATTAAAATATAAAATATAGTTTTTAATTGAAAATTACTATTTAAATTTTTGTACATGATTGATGAACCATTTTGTAATTAATTTCATTGAACGCGGCTCACTGGAAGAAAAAATATTTTCCTCTTATTTCTTTGAACCCCTACCCCCGGCCAGACACTCGGTGAAGGAAACAGAACTTTTTTGTTTACCGACGATTTCGAACTGATAGATCAAATTGCAAAAAAGCTTCAGACACTAATTGAAATTTGTTATCTGTGTTTGAAATTATAAATTTGAAGATACGTTATATTTTTCTAAGGCAACACTAACAATTCCTCCAAAAAGGAAAACTTGATTTGATATGCAAAGTTTTTTTTACACATCATGATATAAAGAGTACACTGCATTTGAAAACTGTTAAACACATTTTTTTTTCTTATTTAAATATTCATACATGCACTTTCAAAAAGGTTATTGCGTACTTGTCAATCCCACATTCATATTCAGACATAAGCAAGGTAAGAAAATATTTGGAATTTTAAGAAAAGAAAAGAAACAATAACTGTTGCATATTTCTACTAGCCTGAACTCTTCATGATTAGGTAGGGTTTAAGGAGGTTGGATCATGTCGTCAAAAGTAATGAGAATATTTTATCAAGTATATTTTTAGAATCTACACACAAAGCTTAATTAAAAATCAAAACAAAAATGGGGGTCAATGCATTTCTTTTGGCGCTACAGAGCATTTAGTTTGACTTTTTTTGCACTGTAAATACATCTTGCACATGATTCATTTTTTAAAGTTTTTCTTCCAATATTTTTTATTCAAATAAATTATGGGAACAAACACAGTCTTATTTCATCTTGAATAGATACATTAAAATATGTGACAACAAAGAATTTTTAAATAACTTCGCATATTTAATTATTTGACTTTTTTGCACTCAAAAATATCATTTTTCTGGCATTAAAAATTTTAACAAGCAATAAAATCATTTGAAAGTAATATTTTACTGAATTAAAGAAAAATGGTTAAAAATATCTTATATATTCAGAAAAGAAAATAAAAAGTGGGGGTCTGTGATATTAATGTTTAGATATTACTAAAATAGTGCTAATTTTAAGCAAAAGTTAAGGCTATTTTTTCTGGATTTTCGCAATATATTTGCTATATTTATCTACTATGATGATAGAATTCATGATAGTTTATTTAATATCTGTTTTAGGACCAGCATGAAACAGTTTATGGCACAGAATAACCCTGTGTGCAGGCTGCATGGAAAAATAGGAATCCAAACTTAACATATTCTGAATACCTTGAGAGAGAGAAAAAAAAGATCATATTTTTTTCTAAAAATACATCCGCCACAAAATATAGTTCCTCACTTAATGCTTTTGGTATGGAATTAAATCAAGGAGTTTTAACTGAATATCGTTTAATTGGTATTGTAGAATCCAAATTTATTGTAAGAACTAAAACATTATGCAGAATCTTTTAAATATAGGTTAAGCCAAAAAAGTCTGCTCAAAAACTCAGGAGCGAACCTCGTTAAGTAGGACATCAGCTTCTCAGTCAATAAAAGCGACCTCGACCTAGATGTATTTATAGTTTAAGAAAACCATTTACTGCCATTCGAAAAAGGAAGATGTTATTTTTTAATTTTCTTATTCTAGGATTGGTATCCTCTCATGCAGGTAAACTGATACTAACGAATTCTGGTTAGATATATCTTACACGTTTCATCTATCATGATAATGTACCAAGAGACAAACTTCCTGTTTGTGTTTCTTAAGTCGGGTATGGTTTTCATAGAGAAATTCTTCCTTAGAAAATGCCAAATCTATTTTTAAACATTCAAAGGCATATATGTCAAATATGTCTACTTTTAAAATATATTGATTTTCTTAAAAGATATGAATTTCTTTGATATATGTTATGAAAAAGAATGCCCTAAAAGAAGTCAATTGAGCTGCATAAAAATCAAATTAAGCAATCATTTGCCTGCAAATTAAGCTTATACATTATTTTGAATATCAGATGCTGTTCAAAACTTGCATGCAGAGGATATTCATTACCGGACAAAGCGTGATTTGTCGAGAAGTAGAAGGTCAGAAATTCGCAACCTATCTCCAGACGACAGGGCATCTTGTTCTCCTGGTCAGGTAAATTAAGAATCAGAAAATCGAATTGAAATAAGAGTAACGGTAGATTTATTTGCTTTTTTGACAGTAAATATACAACGCGATCATGATAACATTGAAACACTGAAGAAGTAAGTAATCTCGCACAATTTTGTCATTTCTTTATATTGACCTATAAATAATATTATAAAGGATAGAGTGAATTGTAGTGATGAAGGTATTCAGGGTGTATAGCCTGTCTAGCCATGATATTACAAGATTGGGAATAATCAAAAAGGTGGAATGTAGGAAGACAAGTACAGCTAGTTTGATAAAGAAAATAAATTATCCAACTAATTAAAAGATAAGTTTGTACATATAGGATGTAATTTTGTTTTATTTTCAACTTGATAGGCGAAATGCAGAATGATTAGAGGAAGTTAAATAAAAGATAAAAAGAATTTTGCTGCCGATTATCGAATTATATGAAACTGTAATATTTTTTGTGTGTGTCGAATCTACCGGATGATGAGTATCGGCAGGTTCATTCACTATCGGATAATAGCTCCAGAACGCGCATGTTTATAATATTTTCAAATTGAATAAGTATTAATGACACCAGAGTTTAGTTACGGTAAATAGATTTCTGTATGTAAAGTCAACGAGAACTGAAAGCTTTCTTTGCATTAGTCAATTACATTGTAAGTGAATTAATAAAAAGCAGGTAAATTGTTGCTACAGACCGTGTTCGTCCGTCTGTCCGTCACAATTTCTTGTCTATTTCTCTTAATTTAAGAGAAAGCCAACAAAATTCTCTTTGCATGTTATTCAAGGTACTTCACGTGAAAATTTTTCTGAATAATCGATCAGAAAGATGATTTTTGGAGCAGGTCCATTTCAAATTAATTAGAAATCTGTATCCTATTTGAATTCATGTTTCATCCGGGGGTGTTTACTTCGATTCGTGCTTCGAATGCTGTATAATGCCTTTATTTTTTAAATGATTATATAGACTGAAGATTTGAGAGCCTTTGCAATATAAAGTCTTGCAATTACAAAAATTGCATAGATAATGGCACAAAAAATTGATACATTGCATGGGGGTGTTACATGTGAGCCATGTATACCAGTTGAGAAATGATGTGAAAATTTCTTAACAAGCAAGCATCATTTTTGGAGAAATGTTGCAGGATATATAGACCAACCATGCACATATATTGGATTCTGCATCTCAAAGATTAAAAAACGATTTTTATAAATATATTAAAGGTTTCAAATAAATACTTTGAAGAAACATCGCATCAGTCTTTATCTTGCTTTGTTAAAATGAAGACACGTTTTCTCTTTTTCATTTCTTCTTTCAATCAGAAATTTTAACTTGTTATATTTGTTAACGTGAAGTAAAGGCGTATTGCTTATAATGGATACATTTAAATCAACTCGATCTTTAAAGTTTGATTTCATGTCAATGCTAATGAGAATGCACAGTTACGAGGGTTTATTACCAGAAGTAATGCCACTCTCACTCGCGTTTAAAAAGAAAGCGTAAGATAAAATGCAAACCAGTTTGACTTTTATTGACATAGCATCTGTAAAAAACCCCATAAAAAACACGTTTGAATTTACGGGAATGCGTATTACATATAACTTCAGTATGTATCAGCGCATGACAAAGAGAGTTGTGCTTTAAAAGATTTGTCACGGAATCTTTCATTAGAAAAGAAATTGTACTAAAAGTAGTTGATGTTTAAGATAAAGTGCATGATGACTCCTTCCTGCCTGTCAATAGAATTGAAGTTTTATCAACCAAATTATTATCCTTAGAGCAGTTCATATTTTCGATCTTAAACATTTTGCTACGATTTCGCTAATAATTGAACTTACTTTTTATTTTCGTCTTCTGATGATGCATAGACTCTTGCTAGATTAGTTTAATCCTATCATTTATTGAAATGGCGGTATATATATCTAGATATATACAATTTAACATGCTAGAAAGGAATCAGGTTCATAAAACTCTGATTGTAAGTTAAGTAAGATATGATAATGTATGATTCCAAAAAGGTGAATATTTCAACAGTCTCATTTAAAGTAAGCAAAATCTAGCCTATAGATGAGGGGAATTTTAATCGAGATGTCTCATTCCAAGTTTACATACTAATTTTAAGTATGAATTTCTACGTTTACCTGATCAATAGAGAGCGCTCGTTGTGGATGTGACAGATCAACAGAGAATGCTTACTCCTTTGCACTTTTCGCGATTTGCATTGTTAAGATCCCTGTTTCTTATCTTTATTTTTTTACTTTGTAAGTATTATGTAAATGATTAAGATAAACAAACGTGACAAATCTCTTAAATTCAGAAAAGAATAATCTTGAAAACCCTTTAGAATCAACTAATTTGTCAGCAGCTTGCCCCTGTTTAAAAATGGGTCCGCTCAGAGCATGCATGCTTTTGAGTATCGAATTAGTTTGAAGACAAAAACCGATATGCAGGTGATTGTTCAATATTACTTCATAAATAGTCGCCTACATGACGCAGTGGTTAGAGTCACGGTTAGAGTGGTTAGAGTGCTCTAAAGTCGCGGAGTAAAGAGCTGATCCTTACGTTGCGGATTCGGATCTCCCTCACTGCTCAATGGCTTGAGTGCCGAGTATAGGTATAAAATTGCATCTCTCCACCGGCAAGTGGTGGCGTCTTCATATGAGTGAAAAATTCTCGAAAGAGACGTTAAGCAACAACAACAACAACAACAAAACTTCATAAATAGAGGAAGTTGACGTTGGAAAAGCTGAAGTCATTCAGTTTGTTATATATTTTAGCTGTTCATTTAATGTCAAGATCTAGTAAATGTAAGGTGCCTTCACATTTCTCAAACTTGAGAAACAAGTTCTTTCAATGATCCTTTACAAATATAGCTTGGTGAATTTAGGTGTATCGGCACTTAATTTTTAAGTAAACTCAACTAAAAAAGATACTTTAGACTGTAATTTTCAATTAAAAATGAAGGAAGTCAGGTATAAATATGGGAGTTTTTTTTCCATCTCAGAAAAAAATGTTTCAATATTGCCTACAGTCTCTCAGAAAACAGTTTTTCATATCTTCTTGACCTCTTCTTTAAAATGATATTAAATTGAATATAGGTATCGGGGTTACTTTTGACATGATTTCAAATTGAATTCCATGAAAATTCTTCATTTTCTACACAATTCTAGTATAGCCGTAAAGTACGGGAAAAATTAAGTTTAAATCAATTATGACATTATAATGGATCTAGCATCAAAAAGACAATCTAATCTTATTTACTATATCTTGACCTTAAGTTGAACACAATTTGCACAAGTAGGAGATTTATGATTTCCAGCATGCTTAACTTTCATTCCGCCATATTACTCTCTTTTCTTTATTTCTTGAGCCCCTATTTACCCTTTTTTTTTAACCAGACTTCAATGCTTTCCGATTTTTTCTTTTTTAGATTTCATCTGTGTACTATGAAGTACACCGAGAAAAATAACTATTGTATGCGGTTGGCATTCCAGGAGAAAAAAGGCTTTAAAAAATATGGCATTAAATGCACAGATCCGTCCAATACAAATAAACAAATATGCAAGTAAAATGTAAGAAATGAAAAGAGAAAGGCAATGTAATATAACCACTACACATTCTCCATTTGAGCACAACAATAAAATAAGAAAATCCAGGAACAATATGCTTACTTTTTATGTCGCACATGCACATTTCATGTGAGAAATGCGATCGAGGAAATTGAGGTCAGTAACACGTGCCATGCCATGTATGAATTTTATATTTCAGTTTATTTTGATAAAACTTCCTACTATTGAACTTTGTTTGTAAGATGCATTTAATAGAAATTTTGCAGTCATTCTTCAAAGCATGCATGAGATACGTGTAATTTTGCTCTGAAAATTATCCAAAACATGTATGCAATATTCACAAATGATTTTACAAGATTCCTATATGCATTATAAGATATTTTTTATAATCATGTGCTGTGATACTCACAAGGAAGTATCATTACCTGGTTTAATTTCTTTTAATTTATTCATTTTTTAATCTATTTTGCTTATAATATGTGTGGAAAGCTACGGCATTCAAAACACCATACATCTAACACGGACGGGAGGTCAACAAGTTAAAATATTCATTTTATTTTGACGTCACAAATGTTGAACGCAACGTCATTAGTGAAAATCAAAATTCATGCTCACATTGAACTGAAGCTATTGCAACGGCTCTTCCATTAACTGATAATGCAGGGATTCTGAAATATAAATCACCCTTGTAGTCAAGACAAGGAGTTAAAAATGTAAATATAAGCTAAGGCGCGTTACTTAATTTTTTTGCACACAACGTTGCAATTAGTAGACTACATCTTTCAAAAAATAATGACTCAATGCTTAATTGTCTTACCCCCTTTCTGTGTCCTCTTGAAATATAAATACAGATTTTTGACACCTAGATAGCAGTGGCCAAAATTCAATTGGTGAAACGAATACATAAGTTATACCCAGTGCTGATATTGGAGATAGGAAAATTGATATGGCGTATACCTAATTACAAGTGGTGTTCAGCTTTAACGTCCGTAGTAAAATATTCAAGTATGAAGTACATGTGAATTACTCTGTTGTGTCGTTTATTTTGAGTTCATTGGGGTATATCGAGTGCACATATGAATGAAAATAACTATTGTTAATCGATAAAATGTATGTCGATATATCGAAATATTGAATTAAAGGACAGAGCAAGGGGTTTCTTCTCATGTAGAAGTTTATGAGATATTATGATATTACGCATTAGATATAAAAAAAAACAATTATCATAATAAGTGCTGTTTTCTATTTTTGGTGAAACTGTCACAATTTGCTTAGGTTCTTTAAATAAGGCATGGTTGAAGTAAAGAACAAGGTTCACTTAGGATCTTTATAATGCCCTGTAAATTTCTGAAAAATTAAAACTGCCCAGTTTTAGTTGAAAATACACTAATAATCCCTTGGATCCTTGGTGACTGCATATCTATTAAAAATGACGTGATTTTCTCGATAGTCTATGTATTATGACGTCATAAAATATCCTCAATCCTAAAAAAAAATTCGTCAAAAATTTAAGCTATTTTTCAACATTTTGCATGGTCCCTAACCTCTGATCCAAAATGTCAAATTATATTATGAAAGAACTGTTTCAGACGATTATAACCCATGCTTTATTTTTTTTGATCGAGGAGTGGGCTCATATTTCAATTCTTTGCTGAAGGTACTCTATAGCTATTTTCTTCAAAATTCAAGAATCTTACAATTTCATAAAGCCTGCATTTCAATACCTGGACTCACACAAGAAACCTTTTTATAAGAAATGAAAGCATATGTCTCTACTATATATTGATGTTTGAAATTACTTACTGTACTTTATCTTGATGTTTGAAATGGGCTTTTGGGACTTGGTCAGTTAATTGGTATATGGGCAGTGGCATTTTATGAATTGAATGAACCCAGCTCTTTATATCTTGTTACATGCATTCATGTTCATAACACATTTGATAAACATCTTATAAAAGTTTCTTGTAGAAAACACCTTGAATGATCAATCATCTAATCAATTATTCCATGCTTATAGTCTGTTCCACCAAACAGAATAAATACAACAGAGAGACTGAGTGATCTTCGGACCGAGATGAACCGTTTGGGATTACAAGCTTATATAATACCATCAGAAGACGCACATCAGGTAAGGTTACATATATACAAGCTTATATAATACCATCAGAAGACGCACATCAGGTAAGGTTACATATATACAAGCTTATATGATATCATCAGTAGACGCAAATCAGGTAAGGTTACATTTATACAAGCTTATATAATACCATCATTAGACGCACATCAGGTAAGGTTACATTTATACAAGCTTATATGATACCATCAGTAGACGCACATCAGGTAAGGTTACATATACACAAGCTTATTTAATACCATCAGAAGACGCACATCAGGTAAGGTTACATATATACAAGCTTATATGATACCATCAGTAGACGCACATCAGGTAAGGTTACATATACACAAGCTTATTTAATACCATCAGAAGACGCACATCAGGTAAGGTTACATATATACAAGCTTATATAATACCATCAGAAGACGCACATCAGGTAAGGTTACATTTATACAAGCTTATATAAAACCATCAGTAGACGCACATCAAGTAAGGTTACATTTATACAAGCTTATATAATACCATCAGTAGACGCACATCAGGTAAGGTTACATTTATACAAGTTACTAGTATATCACATGATCAAAAGACGCACATCAGGCCCCAAGAACATGAACTCAGAGCAGACTTCAAGCAAAATTTAGATTTTAAATATCTTCATTTTCATTAGGTTTCTTTATGTCGATGAAGAATCAAAGCTTCAGATCAGTATTTGAAATCACCGTCTTTTTTCTCATGTCTTTATTTGTGATGTAAATCTAAATATTTTCTACATTAGACGATTTTTACATCATATGACTTTAAATTACTTCAAAAGTGAATTTTACTGTAGTAGATGCAAAACATACAGGATATACTGGATTTGGCGTAATTGAAAAATCGTCTTTTTTTCTCTAACGAACTGTGTTGTACATTTGTAGAGTGAATACACTTCTCCATATGATAAAAGAAGAAAATTTATATCTGGTCTTTCAGGCTCTGCTGGTAAGTTTTGAGCAATGAAGGGCTTTAACTTATGGCTTCAGTTCGTCACTTCATTGAAAATGTCAATGTAGAGATCAATATAATCGTCCTTTTTGTATATATAAGAATTCTTTAAAAGGTTTTTGTGGCACATTTGTATATTTCTATTTCTAAGTTCAATGTACATATATATGTTCACATGTTATATTATCATAACAATATTGTATGTCGTTCTTTTATGAATGAAAAATGTATTGAGATATGTCAGGGTTTTGAAAGGATGAAAGATAACAAACAGTGATAATTCTCAAATGTCCTTTTAAGCAATACAAGTTATGAGCAGAGCCAACTCTGAAAACAGGTGGGATCAGGTGCCATGGAGGATAAAGCATCCCCTGTCGAACTTTCACTCCCCGCTGTATGCTCTTTGTGATTCTCGACTAAACAGAAAATCCGTAGATAATTGAGTGTGAAAATAATCACCTAACAATTTATGTGAAAAAACCCTGTCAACATTAGACCTAACAACAGATTGTATTTGCAAGCAAGGTCATTTTATCGACCATAGAATTTCGAAATGTTAACGTTAAAGGAGCTTGTATCGTTGTATTATCAACGTATTGGTCAATAGCCTGTATCGATTTAAAAATTGTTCGTACGTAGAACAAGGCCTTGCTTAATATAAGACATAGACTCCATATGCAGTTAACAGTGGTATATCTCAACATAAGTAAGGGAAAAGCTGAAGTCATCATAGTTGTCAGTTTGCCATCAATGTCTTTCTCCAAAAAATCCAAATATGAAATTGATGTGTCAGACTCTGTGGTGTTTTCATTTCTAGCTCAATGGAAACACCGTAGAAATGGAACATCTTAATTTTGCCAGCATAATGGAAAATTATATCAACATGCATCCGAGCTAATTATGGCAATATACCATATTATATGTAAATTTAATTTGCATATGAGGGAAGGGGGCAGGAACATTCTGCCAAAGTTATCTTTCCATAGTATAAATTTTGTTTTTGATTTTTTGAAAGTAAAATTATTTTTGACAAGGTTATGCAATTGTGACAAAGATGCAGGCAGCCCTGTGGACGGATGCACGTTACTTTCTTCAAGCAGAAGATGAGATGGATTGTAATTGGATTCTTATGAAGTGGGGTTAGTAAATCATGCATTTTAATGATTGTTTGTGCGTGAGGATGTGTGTATGTGTGTGTGTGTGTGTGTGTGTGTGAGAGAGAGAGAGAGAGAGAAAGAGAGAGAGAGAGATTAAATCTTGCCGATAAAAGAATACTGAATCATCAAGTTTTTCATTTTGTCTTGGGAAAATGAAATGGAAATTTGATTATTTTTTAATCAGTGCATGTTTCGTAAGCACATTGTTGAAACTTTTAAGCTAAATCTTTGCTGTCTTTCTAAATTGAATTTTTAAAGCTTCTTTCCTCTTTTAATTCTATGACAGGAGAAACAGGCGTACCTTCAGCCACAGAGTGGCTAGTATCAGTCCTTGAAAACACACCAAACGCCAAAGTTGGAGCATATCCATTTTTTCTCGGCAGCAGTATGTACAATTGTACATTTGAGAAGAGTTTGAGAAGTGTTTGTTAAAACGATGAACATTTCTTTTCAGTTCTTACTTTTCCTCTCCCCAATGGTAAAGAGAAATATTGATGTGTTGACAAAGACTATCTTTCCCTCAGATTGTCTAGCTCTCTGTATTTCTGTTCATCAAAATTCTTGAAAGAGCAAAAATTGAAGAATTCTTGCTTTGATAAATATATAAGTTCAAGATTCAGTTTTTTGGTTTTCCATGGTGCTTTCATCAAAAGATTGACTTATGCTACGCTTAATTTTAAAGGTGCAAAAAGATGCTGAAATCTTGAAGACAAGGCAAGAATGTTAAAGTCTAAATCAAACTGAATATCTTTGATTTGTTGTAAAGCATGACTTATAGGTATAATGGTCTTGATTTAAGATTTTTGCCATCAAGGTCATAATGTAATGGTCATGTGTTTGATCCTACAAGGTAGAGATACCTGCTTTTTCTTAAGGAAACAAACTCTACTCATAAAAAGATCTTTTTACTGTGTATTGCTAACTGCATTGATGCATAGTGTAACTACTTCTTTAAGAAAAGTGGGAAAGCTACGAAGAAAAACTTTCTGAGGAAAACATCACAATGACGAAGACAGATGAAGATTTAATAGACAAAATTTGGACAACAGGGCGTCCACAGGAACCGAATTCTCCCATTAACGCTCTTCCATACAAATTTTCAGGTAGGTATAACCATAGGTGCCTGGAGATGGAACTCCCAACCGCTTTTTAATGGAATCTTTTTCTGTAACACATTTACAAGGTATTACAATTGAAAAATCAAAAATATAACGCTAACCATTTAAAAAAAATATTCTCAATTCAATTATAATAAAAGATCAATGAGTATAAAGTTTTATAAAAGGTTAATTTAAAGTTAAACATTATATTTTGGATTTTTCAATTATAATACAATTTATAAAAGTTAGTTTGTAAACGTGTAATGGAAAACATTCTATTACAAATGTCGACCATTGGGTTACGAAGTGATGGGGTGGGGTGGGGGTGTCCCTTCCCCAATCACCTGTGTTATAACGAAGTGCTGGTAACAAAAAAGCATGCAATGTACTACAAAGTTACGTACAATAATAATTTTTAGTATTTAGAAAACATTATTTTTCAGAAATATATTTATGTTTTTCTAAGTGTTACAAGTGATTCGTGGTGATATTTCTGGTATAAATATGACATGTACAGTGTATATTAAATCAAACTGGGAATATTTTGCTTCAGGACGTAATTGGCAGGATAAGATCGCTGACATTTACAAGGCTATGGAGGAGAAAAAAGTAGACTCTATGATTGTATCAAGTCTGGATGAAACAGCATGTGGGTTTGTTTTGAGGATCGGACAAATTTGTTGGATTTGTCAAATCTAAATTTCGAATACAAGCAGCTACATTATAATACATTGATTTTAATTTACAAATTTTAAATACATAATTATCTTTATAACTGATATTTTCTTAAGTGACAAATTTAGGAGACACATTTTTTAGTGTTATTTTTTGCATATTTAATGGATTCCTAATATTTAGCAAACGATTTTGCTGACTCTACAGCATTTATATAAAATGCATTATAGGGTTACTGAACTTGAGAGCTGAGGACATTTTATACAGCCCATTCTTTCTCTCATATATAATTGTCGACAGAAAAAAGAACCAGATAACGTAAGGATTCTTGATTCTTTCAATATTTCTTTTTTATTCCATTTTTATTTATGGATTAAAAATGTGAAAAATGATCCTTTAAATTTGTTATTACTGTTTATACGTGTGTCCAAACTCAACAAATAAATGTCAACAGACTTGCACTTTACTTTTATGCCATTTTTTTTTTATTTTTAAAGCAATACTTTCTTAAGAAATCTCTTTGAGTAGGTTATATATAAAAGATCACATCAAGAAGCTCACACAAGCTCCGACTGATCCAGAAACAACTCAGAAATTACATGAACATCTTAACACCGGAAGTACAGGTTCTTGTAGTGGACAGACAGGATATTGTGTTGTGGTATGTGAAGATAATATCCTATTTCACACCAATTCATGTATTTTTATAATATCTTTTACCTTTTCTGAGGTATGCATCCTTTTGCTAGTTCCTTCAATGACCATGATTATGTCATTTCAATCCAAACAAAAATCATTCTTGGATATTTGGCTTGTTAAACTTAACACACTTTCCTTCTAAAATCCATATATCATTTTACTTTTAGGTATTGGAATATGAACCAATGGCATTGATAAATAAGATGAGGTCAGTGGTTACTAACAGCGAGAAAGTCTGGATTTCACCTTACTGCAGTTATGCGATATTTTCTGTCGTACCAAAGGTAATGCATTTCTAAACTAAGTCATAATTGATTGCAAAATTAACACTATGTTTTCTTAAAAAAGAAATATGGCATTTTAAAAAGAAAATCTACACATGTATGTAGTGAAGTAAAACAAATAAAGATGTATAAAATCATCTGCATCATCGTTTTTGTTAGAAAAAAGGGGGAAAAAATGTAACGCAGCCCACATTATCATCAATTCATTCTTGTGTAAGGTTAACCAAGGAGATAGTATTCGTAAGCTATATTTTTCTTTTATGTGAAACTCCATGTTTTCAAATGTTTTCAATTTAGGAAAAGCGGATACAGGAAAACACACCCGTGTCTTTACAAAAGGCAGAAAAAAATGAAGTCGAGAGGAACGGAATGATAAAATCTCACGTACGCTTTCTTCCCGAAAAATTTTATAAGATTTTCATCAAACCATTATTAAAATAACATAATTATTAATGATTTTTTTTTTTTAAAATTAATCTTCAAATGTTAAAATGAATTTTAATGTCTTTAAACAGATTCGTGACGCAGTTGCATTGATATCTTTTATTGCAAAGTTAGAGAAGGAGGTAAGGAAAATTATTCAAAGAAATTGGAAATGTTTAGAGATATTTGTTCAAACGGGATTTGAAAACAAGACTGGAATTTGAAAAATCATCTCTATGTGAAAAGGGGTATTTTCTAATGCCATCTTGAGATATATTTCCCGAATACTTTTTTCTGATTCGTAAAATGTTCGTTTTTTCGAACAAAATCCTCTGTTTTTTGTTTTTTGTTTGCTCAAAGAGCACTGAATTGAATTCTTTATATTATAGCGTCACATATTCGAGGGAAATCATAGTAAAGCTTAAATGGCTTTAATTATTCGAAGTGATTAATCTTTAGGCGTTATCAGGTCAGTAAAAGAATCTTAGTTTCTTTCAAAAGACGCAGATGAAGGTTTGTGAAGCCTCATTTTGTCGCCCTTTGCATATTGTCGCCGGTGAAAGTATATAACTACCCTCACAACACCATTACAACGTCAACGTCTTGGTGTCATTTATATGAGGACAATTTTCATTTTGTATGTAACTCTGTTTTGCAAAAATCAGAGACCTGTGAAAGGGTATATGTTTTGTTTGTTTGTTAGAGAATTTAAAGTAAAGGACTGTAAATTTAGACCTGTTATCAGCACTTACGGCCTTTGAGCAGTGAGGGATCCTTTTCGTGTCAGCACCTACTGCGACACGGTACCTTGATTTATATGGTTTTATCCGAAAGACAGGTCTCCGTGACACACAGTGGATTCGAACCCGGAACTTAAGGATCAGCATCGTACTCCGCTACTCTAGAGCAAACGCCCTAAGCACTGTGCCACGCAGGTGACGACAGGGTATAAGTAACATTAAGATAGGTAGGTTCAACGGGTAATGAGAATTACATGAAAATATGGATTAAGTAGAGGTTCTTCTTCCCCTATCTCAATAAAAAAAGATTTATATTTTCTGTCTTCTCTTTTTACAATTCATTCCGGAACGATGATTTATTTTTAATGAAAACCTTATCACATTTTTCAGCCGTAATACGGGTTATAATTTGGGTATGTTTGTTTAAAAGTCTAGTTTATGATGTGGGTGAATCAAAAAATAATGACCATCAAATTGAAATTTTTTGATACAATTCAACTACCCATAACATATTTTTCACTTAAATCATTATATTGTACATACATTCAAGTTAAATTTCCTGAAGTTGCAATAGAATAGACAATTGCATAAAAAAGTTTCAGGATTTTTATTAGTAAAACTTTATTTGAAAAAAGGAAACATCACTACATCCTAAAAGACTTTATAAAATACATAATCAGAAGAAATTATGGTTTCTTATGCTTCAAAATGGTATCAAGGATATAAATGATTAGATCTAAACTTTGATTGAGTTTCTTCTCTTGTATATGTGGAAAAACATGTTATTTTTCATTGTTATTTTTACATTATTTTTTTTAATTCTGGGTTGAAAAGCTTTTACATGAAAGAAATATGTAACAATAGAATTCCTTAAAATCATTTTTTAGTCCATTTAAGTCAATTCTTTAAATCTAAGTCAAAAAAGAATTTTGATATACAGTTTTCTTACAAAAAATACTAGATTTTGAATTGACCCTATGTTGCATTATTGTGTTGCACTACTGACATCTGATATGTATTTTATTTAACATTGTTTTAAAATTTATAACACACAATAACCCATCGTTAGTTTGTAAATCAGTTTGTCATTTTGATATTTTTTTTTATCATTTATGGCAAGTTTTTCATATTTTCAAGACTTCAAAACATGTTTATTTGCAATGTGTAATATATAATGATCTTTTTGAATAATTTAGTACTAAATTGTTGAAGTTTTTGTCATTGAAATCCTTCTACTTTTCAATTTTATCAATTCAGGTGTGTGTTTATCTTTTCTTTGATTTTTTGTATGAATGTAAAAAATAAACACTCTGAGAAATTGTTATAAAATTCAAGTAATTCAACCTCAACTTCACTGAAACAACAGAACAAGTTATGATGTAATATTCCCATCACAATTCTTCTTTAAAGACTCCCATGCTCTTGATCAGGAGTGCAACAAATATGTTAGAATTATTGCTGATCAAATATGAATAAACATAAAGAAAAAATTGATGAGTAGGATGTTTCTGGTTGACCTCAGTTGCTTACAGTGTTTGTCCTGCGATAAAAAGAAATATACTATAAAATATATTTTATCTTTTAAATATATATTTTAGCTAGTTTTTTTTTTTTTTTTTTTTTTTTTTTTTTTTTTTACATAAATAGGGAATAATTCAAGATATAAAGCCAAGTTTAAATATTTTCATGTGTCTTAATTATGACGATTAATATTGCACAATTTCATTACCACTTGATGTTGCCAACACTTAATGATTTTTTAAGCGCTAAGCACAGCGCAAAGCGCTTACTGGCATTTTAATACTACTTCCGTTCGCGATCCAGCGCCACTGCAAGTAAGATAACGCCACTGACTCTTCTAAAAATATGCAACTGGAAATCCCCGACTCTCTTTCGGCTATTTTGGTCAAGTACTGCGTAACGCGCAGTTCTAATTATAGATATCAATAAGAGAGATAGAGAGTACGAAATCCGCTCCTAGTGGATGAGGGCGGGTCTTATCTCTTTACATTGTAGTTCATTTAAAAATTATGTAGGCACATACCACTTGTGTAACATATAGCTAACAGTTACTATAGTATTAATTCGAAAAAGTTATGAAAAAACATCTTTGGTGCAAATACATTGTATTCTAAAAAAGGCTCATAATAGGTCATGTAATGCAGTGATTGAATACGTACATATTTTTCATATTTGAATACATGCATATTTTTAAAACTCAGAAAATTGATTTACAGTGTACTTACGTTCTATATAATTTATATCCATATTAACTAATATTTCTTCTTCTAGACCCTCATTTCAGGCAATGTAACTAAAAACATGTCTTTTTATTATCATCCTTGCTCAATGTACAGCGCTATCAATGATGTTGAATTTCGCATCTCAGTACCAATTAATAACAGACTGGAATGCAGTCATGGACTGTCTATACTCGTGTTGTAATCTATACGTGTAACACAGAAAAAAATATTATGAAATATGGGGAGATAGTATTCGAGCTCAAACGTCCATTAAACCTTACAAAATAGGAGCATATCAAACACGGACCTCTAAAATTATGTAAAAAATTCGCAAGGAAAGGCAGTTTGCGACCACAACTTGGTCAAACAAAAGTTGCTACAGTCTACATGTGAAGCCCAATACTTTAAATATTGTCAGAAAAGTCTTTATTTCCAACATAAACCATTATTATTTATTTCACAGATCTTCAAAAAATATTGAATTTTCAAAATTCACAAAAAGGTATTGCACTCCCGACATTTTTAGCATCATTTGTGGACGTAACTTTTTTGTGAATTGAGATATCGATGAGAAATTTGACTGGTGTTTAGACGCTATCCAAAGACATATGCTGATACCTAGAGATTTATTCCCATTACCTGCATTATAAGTACAGTTTGATAAATATGAATTTGGTCCCTTTTTTAAAATTCACCCATATCGTTAATTAGGTAATTGTATAAAATATCCATACTGTATTTTGGAATCATTGAATGAGAGGAAATTTGATGATTTAAGAATATTTAGATAATTGCAGTGACTTGCATTTCCTCTAAACAGTATTTAATTATTATCATTGATTATTTTGTTAAGGTTAAAGAAGGGAAGAAGTGGACAGAGTTGTCAGCGGCTGAAGATCTAGCCAAATTCAGGGGGTGAGAAAACAATAAAGAAGATCTTGTATAATTTGACGTCAACAAAAGAAGTATTCTCAGATAAACCAACTAACCACATATATTGTTTATGTCACTGAAGGAGGTGTTTACATCAAAACACTTCAATACACTTATAGACTAAGAGGACGAGAGGAGGTCAGCGACATATTACAGATAAAACGCTCTAATCACTAATGAACAATGTTTTTAAACTTGTTTAAAATTGTGTCATGTAGAGATATATTTGTACATATCGAGTTTATCTAGATCATTTTCAGCCTCTGTTACCTGTCATATTTCCCCAGGAAATATTCAAAAAACAACGAAGCCAACAGAAATAACTGCTGTTTACTTACACTGAGAAAAACTATATAACTAATGTATTTAATCACTTTATCTTGGAATAATATTATGTTAAGAGAAGTTTTTTCATTTGTAAATTTTGTCATCATCTGTAGATTTTCGTGTATTCTTTCTCACATCGCAGATCACTTAAGAACTGTTCAGTGTGCAGTGGTTAGAGCTTCCTTAACATACTTACCGACATACCTTGCATTTGTAAGATGATCTTCATGTTCCAAAAAAGTGATGTGTGATTTTACTAGTGAATTATAACATGCGCAAATAATCTATTTATATCTAAAACCATAGGAGGCAACAGTACAATCGCGGTCTGAGTTTTGATACGATATCCTCTAGTGGATCCAATGGCGCAGTGATTCACTACACTCCGTCTAACCTCACAGACAAAGAAATAACAACAACAGAGATGTATCTACTGGATTCTGGAGGGCAGTATCTGTAAGTATACCAAGACCAACTCAAAAACATCAAGGTCTTGAAATACATAACTACTACCCATTCAAATTTGAAAAAAAAAAGTCAATTCTAATCTCTTGAATTTAATTATAGAAAAAAATATGCAGTCAAATTTACTTTACATCTTTGAAAACGGATAAAGGAAGAATAATGAAAATACCGCAAAATAAGAAGTATGTGTGATTTTTCCTAAATTCATTTCATGTGGCAGAGATGGAACTACGGATGTCACAAGAACATTTCATTTTGGAACCCCAACAGACTTTCAAAAGGTAATCAAAATTTGATAATGCATTTTATTATGAAAAGTTGTAAAATCTACTCATTCTTGGTCAAACATTTCAATGACTATATATTGTTGCTCTTTTGAAAACCCATGGAAGTCAGTTTTCTTACAAATGATTAATGTTACAAAAATGTAGGTTACGAGAAATACCTTTAACAAAACTTATTAAAATAATCATAATCCCGGTGGCTGGAAACAAAATTGTTCTCTAAGATACAGGTATTGTCCATAGGCATTTTTGGTGAGAGAATGGACGGACAAATGATAGACAAAGTTTCCTCTCTATGTATAACCATGGTACAGTCTTTATACTGAAAGTAAATTGAAAAGTTTGAAAAAGAAGTAATTAAAATAACATTGATTTAGCTTATTCTAACCGACAGGAATGCTACACTCGTGTGTTGATGGGGTCGGTAGATCTTGCTAGAGTAAAGATCCTGAAAAGTAGTATCGGACCTCATGGTAAGAATTATTTTATATAAATTTCTGATAAATGATATATATATTAAAAGAGTTATTAAACTAACTGCTCATTTTGTGCCATCTCTAACTGTAATACGTTGAATTGCTTTCACTTGGTACAACTTCAAACAAAATTATGAAATGTGTGTTAAATGCAAAACCAAAACTCTGATTTCAATTAATGATCAGTTTGAATAATGTCATTTTCATTTCTCCAAGGTCAGGAACTTGACATTCTGGCTCGTCGTCCTCTATGGGATGTTGGACTTCATTATAAACATGGGTCTGGGCATGGGATAGGGATGTATCTAGGTGTTCATGAATGTAAGTGTTGTTGTTTCTGTAAAAGTGACATTTAAGAAATAACAATCTATTTTTTCAATGGTATAATAGGGTAAATATACTCTGGGGTATGTAGCAATTTGCATTTATGATCAATCCCATTATACAAAGATCCCACGTGCTCGGATGTATATACATGTATAGCCGCATAAACCCAAACTCTAGGTTTATCAAGCCCTCGTAATCTAATATTTGGGGGCATGTAGTTTTTGCCCTGTCCGTCCGTCCGTCTGTCTGTTTTATCTGTTTGTCCGCAAAAACTTTAACCTTGCCAATAACTTTTGATTGGTTGCAGCTATGGCTTTCATATTTCACATATGTATTTCTTGTGACAAGACCTTTTTGGTTACCATCAATTTTTACCTTTTAACCTTGACCTAGGAGTTTTACCTAGTTTTGCTTCACATGTGTATTCCTTGTGACAAGACCTTCTTTGGATACCAACAACTTTGACCCTTTGACCTTGGATTTTGAATTACTTTTATACAAATTAAACCTTGGACATAACTTTTGAAAGGTTGGTGCTAGGGCTTTCATATTTCACATGTGTTTTTTATGAAAAGGCCTTTCCTTGGGCACCATTAATTTTTACCATTTGACCTTGACCATGACGTTTAACTTACTTTTACCATCCCATATCTTTTCAATGGTTGGTGATAGGGCTTTCACATTTCAAGCGTATATTCCTTTCTTTGGGTACCAACATTTCTTGATCTCTTAACTTGGAGTTTGACTTGCATTTGAGAAAGTTTAACATTCGCTGTTAGCCGCTATACGAGGGCATCAGTGTTTTACAAACACATCTCGTTTTTACAATTTTAGTTTTATTATACCCCCGCTCCGAAGGAGAGGGGGGTATACTGTTTTACGCTTGTGTGTCCGTAGCAAATTTTGGTCGCAGTTTTCTCAGCAACTACTCATTGCAGATGCTTGAAATTTTAGCACACTCTTTGTTTAAGCATGCCATATGGTGGGATTCATTTTTGTATGAATCTGATGTCAACTTCTTGTTGATCCGTTCGTCTGTCCGTACCATACATAACACAAATTTTAGTCGCAGTTTTCTCAGCAACTACTCATCACAGATGCTTGAAATTTTAGCACAACCTTTGTTTCGACATGCCATTTAGTGGGATTCATTTTTGTACGAATCTGATGTCAACTTCCTGTTTATCCGTGCATCTGTCCTTACAATACATAACAAATTTTGGTCACAGTTTTCTCAGTCACTACTAATCGCAGATGCTTGAAATTTTAGCACAACCTTTGTTTAGACATGCCATATGGTGGGATTCATTTTTGTACGAATCTGATGTCAACTTCCTGTTTATCCGTGCATCTGTCCTTACAATACATAACAAATTTTAGTCGTAGTTTTCTCAGCAACTACTCATCGCAGATGCTTGAAATTTTAGCACACTCTTTGTTTATGCATGTCATATAGTGGGAATCATTTTTGTACGAATCCGATGTCAACTTCCTGTTGATCCGTGCGACGTGTGTCTGTCCGTACCATACATTAAAATTTGGTTGGTAGTTTTCTCAGCAACTACTCATCGCAAATTCTTGAAATTTTAACACACTTTTTGTTTAGGCATGCTTTTTGCTGCGATTCATTTTTTTGTACAAATCCGGTGTCAATTTCCTGATTATCACTGTTTCTGTCCGTAACTGAACTCATATGGAGAAATGGTGTTCATTCTGCCCATTTGCATATCTGAACTATAATGGCGGCCGATTTCATAAAGGTTTATATAGAGAAAGTACAAAATACCGCAAATTTTTATATTCTAACTATTTCGGATAAAGTTCTTCCGCCGATGGTTTGATTCTTATTAATTTCTTTTACCGGAAATGACAAGATTGTTGATACTAAAATGAAAGTTGCGACCGCCTTTTTGATTTGAAAATTCGAAGCGAGAGTATATTGTTTTAATGAAGGAAAGCGTACAGAATTGACGTTTTTATCATTTTTGATGATGAAATGTAAGTGTTTATTGCAAGTAGACAGAGTTCTTCCGCCGATTAAGAAGTGCAGGAGAGAGCCCATTTTTATAAATTACATGTGATTTACATTTCATAAGGAGTTACGACCGCCTTTTTAATTTGAAAACGGCAATTTCTTGCATCAGTGTGACCTACTTAATAACAGAAAAAACGGTACCCTGAGTGGTCAGCAGTTAATCGCACAAAATTCTACCCAAAAAACTATGACGGAGGCTTGAAGAAAAAAAAAAACAAAACGAGACAGGCTTGCAGGTTTTAACATAAAAAATTAAAGAAATGGAATTTCGGGTATATGCAGTATCTTATGAATATTAATGAGAAATAAATCACGTGGAAGCAATCTCATGAATAAATTGCACACCATTTCTCCATATGTTGTCTATTCACATCAGAGCGGGGGTATTATTAGTGAGTACTGGCTCACAAACTTCTTGTTTTTACTATTTTAAACTGTAAGAGAAACGTGTCAACATTGATCCAAAATACCATGTCACGGTGTTCACGTATGACGACGCAAAGCTTGAATGGGCTTATGAAGCCTTATAGGATTTGTTACTCTCTTAACGTCAGTAAAAAAATATTCTTCGGTAATTTAATATTTTCAAAATTTCGATATTTTTATTGTTAACCAAAGATAAACCTTTTCTAGTGAGATTGCAGTCATATAAGTACAACTCTGTCCTTGATAAAGTTATGACACGAATAAAAAATGTAAAGAAATGTCAAAACTTATTAATTATAACCTTTAGGAAAATTAATTAGAAGCCATCCTATATCCATGCAAAGGTCATGTTTGATTTTTTAAACTTTCGGACAATTGAATATCAGTTTTCTTTCAGATCCTCCATCTATAGGCATGACCGGAAGGAGCATCTCCTCCCATGATGCACCCATCAAAGAGGGACAATTCTTTTCTGATGGTATTTACAATCTTCCTCTCAAATTTGACAAGGATCCGAAACATATATTTTAATCGTAAGTTTCAAATAAAAGGAAATTGGATATACAAATATCATATTTCAAATATCACAATTCTAAATATAGAGCCTGGTTATTATGAAGACGGTAGCTTTGGTGTACGTATAGAGAGCATACTGATGGTAAAGAAAGTGGAACTGAAGGTTTGTATTTTAAGGTTCAATAGAATACAAAGTAAGGTGTAGTATAGAAAAATGATATTTAGAAATATTACATGAATAATCAATTTAATCTTACAATTTATTACTTGCAGACAAAGAATAATAATTGAAACAAAATATAAAATAAAGATTTCCATAATTTATAAAAATTGCAGTTATAACAACTGAACTGAATGAAATTTTGATGACAATTTAGAAATAATTTTTCTCCCTCTCGCTTCTAGCATTTGAATGAAACGTACTGAAGGAATTTGTTGTTATGAAAGCGAAATTCTGTAAAAATGTTGCGACTATAAAGATTATTTGGGACAAATGGACATTTTCAGAGTTTTGAGAAAAAAACACGTCGAACATATAGTTGATAGATACATATATTACCTTTTATCATACAGTATAAGTTTTCGGATTCTGAATTCCTTGAATTCGAAACTATCACTTTGGTACCATTTGAACCAAACCTCATCGAGTATGACATGCTTTCCAGAGATCAGGTAAAAACCAGTATGTTATGTTTTTCATTAATGTAATTTTTGGAACTTTTCTTTAAATATACTCCGACTGTTACTCTGCTGTGACTCTTTTGTTTCCCTTATCGAAATGGTCCGCAATGAACTTTTCATCATAGAGCATTATTTTAATGAGTGAACATAATTTCATATAATTAGTAGTGATATTATTAATTACTGTAGATCACAAAAATTTTTACATCACGTTATTTTCGTTATCAGGCTTTTAAAGCAAAAAAAAAAAAAAAAAAAAAAAAAAAAAAAAAAAAAAAAAAAAATATATATATATATATATATATATATATATATATATATATATATATATATATATATATATATATATAAATTACGAATTCTGATTATTGCTGTATTTATTATCTTACAAAGCAAAATTTATAGGAGGCGGCCTTGCGTAATTATGCGAAAATAACAAAAGTAATGTACAGTAATTATCCAAAGAAATTGTTTTACTTCACGCATTGCAAAAATTTACCTTTGTGATCTCGGAACTGATTAAATGTGGAGTTGTTTATTTAAAATCGATGTTAACGCGTAAAATAAGAAAGGAAAATTTATGTTCAAATCTTGCAAGATATCTTTTTAAGTCTTCATATGTTTAGAATATTTAAAATGTCTCTGAATCTAAGATAAAGTGTTTGCGTTTCTCGCAAATTGTTGCACCTAAAACGACAACTAACACGTAATTACAACATTTAGGAGAATTCCTTAAGTACAAATACTTCACCGAGGAAATTTTGAAATGTAAAACTCATTTCACATACTTACTGTATAAATTGCATCATTTTCAAAACAAATAGAAATTATAAGCTACAGTATATAAGCCTAGATATGATATGATTGTTTATGTAAGCATGACATGCGATCTTGTGACGAGTTTTTTTTATTTTGCAAAATTAAAATTTTTGGACTCCGTTTATTTTTAAATTGTTTCAGTGAAAAAAAGACATCATAATGAAATAAATCATTATTACCTTTTTCAGATTGATTGGATTAATTCTTTCCACGAAAAAGTACAGAAAACTATCGGTCCTATTTTGATGAATAGTGACAGAGAAGCTTATGATTGGCTAGAGAGAAGGACAAAGTCAATAACTCGTCAAACTAGCACTTCTTCCGGTGTGAATATTTCAGCTTCTTCTTTTCTTCTCATGATATCAGCCGTTCTTGTGTGTATATCTCAAGTTCCTGTTTCTGAATTTGTCTGATGTATAAAATTATATGGTATGTTTAAATACAGATGGAAATGTACCAGAAGCTTGGAAAAATCAGCAGTTATGTACTTGCATGTTTTTTTTATGGTGTTTATTTTTATTCTATGGCAGAACAAAGTATACATTTCTAAATGCATTCAAACAATAGATTTACAACATTGTCATCTGTTTTTTTTTCATGAAAGTTTGAATCAAAATTTGAATTTGATAAGAAATTCTTCTAAAGTAAACCTTACTGGTAGAGGATATAATCATGGTAAGAATGGAGAACATTTCAAGTAATAATTCAATATTTTTAACTTAACTAACCCATTTATCTCTTAGTTTAGTTCACCGGTTATAATAATTTTAAGTTTGCACATACAAATGTCGTATAACATATAATGGTTAGATTAAGTGCGTGTGTTAAACTCCTCGTTAAAATAATATACAATAAGGTATAGAGGGAGGAAGTGAGGAATTGAAAATCTAAAATTTACACATACACAGGTGTCCACAGATATACATTCGATACTTTTAAAATATTTTCCATCCAGAATTTTTTCCCCCCAAAAGATAACCGTTATTGATAGCTTCATAGAACTCACGCTGTATTTCAAGAAAATAAACAAGATGTGGGCCTAGCTTTGTACAAAATTTTATTTTAAGTATAGGACAAAAATATATATTTCAGCATATATTTTCTAGGAAAAGAAAATGTTAAATTACAAGTATCTAAATTACATTACATATGAAAACCATTGGGAATGTTGGGAAAACAAAACTTGTCATAAATAGTTTTTGTATTTTTAACATGTGTTAAAGACTTGGAAGACATAATGTAACATTTTTGATATAATATCACCGACGAATTCGAAAAAAAATCAAGTATAAAATGAAATTAAAAAAAGGTCTCTTAGAAAATTTGTTTCTCAGAAGTTTTAAATGACCCATACCAAAAAAAGAAAAAAAGAAAAGAAAAAAAAAGTGCATGTTAATGTACTGAATGAGGAGAAAAATGAAATTATTCTATTTATTTTAAATGGGAGGGATAGTTCAGTTCAATTTTGGAGGAAATTATAAAATTATTGACTCTTGTCTTTAAGCTATATGCAAAACATTGCATATGTATTTGGAAATTATATATATATATATATATATATATATATATATATATATATATATATATATATATATATATATATATATATATATATATATATATATATATATAATAATAAGTTTTTTTATATTGCTTAATAGGGTTTAAATTCTATGAAACACAAAAGCATGTGTATTATGTATGTGTGTTTAAACAAGGATATATATTCGGTAAATTCTAATGGTCAAGGATGTAATTATTTAAAAAAAAAATAATAACAGCCTTTATAGAATATATCGAATACTAGATTTTCTAGTAGATTTACCTACCTTTGGTACGATGTAGGAAAAGTTGACCCATTAAGTAATTTTTATAACCGTATCTTATTAAGTGTCATTTAGGGATCGAGATATACTAGATATATTTTTTTCTGTGTTCATTCAGATTTTACAGCGTCTTAGTACGTCAAAGAATAAATCAAACAATTGCATGTCTTCTAGTGGTCCGTGTTTTGTCCTGTTCACTAAATATTGCTTACAGGATATATGAAAATGGTTACTGTTCGTTATATTCGCCATTTTCACAATATGCATTTTAGACATTATTACTCTAGTCTAATAGAATTTAAATTAAAAAAGATATTTCAGGGAAGTTTCTAGTATGCCGGTCCCCAGAATCACGCGATTGCGCATGAGCAGTTATTTCCCTTGCCGTTGCTATGCAGAATGTAAACAAACCGCCATTTTCCCCTCGCTTCAACAAAAGGCATTCGATCGAGTGATTAGGGTTAGGGTATATTGTTTTAAGATTGGAACTGTTTTATAAATCCACTCTTAAATCTTCCTGACTTTGGGCTAATTCATGTAATTTTTGCTTACAAAAGGCACTGCCAAGTGCCTTTTGTGACCAAAAACTTGCATGAATCAGCCTAATGTTGAACCGTGCCGATATACCATCTTATAGGAGTAAAGCATGAAACATGCAAAACTTAAACAGACCGTTAATTAAATATGGCATTGTATGCGATCTACGAATTAGGGTTAGTGTATATATAGCTCGGATATTGTAACTGTTTTATATTCACCCATGCTCGCATCTATACCACTTTGGGCTTATTCATGCAATTTTTGCTTACAAAGAACAGGAAAGTTTTGCGAAACTTGGATGAATTAGCCTTGGTCTAATGTTGAAACATGCCCGATATTGTGCGCTAAGTTTTGGCAAGTAATTGGTAAAAGCGACTTACCGTTTACTTAAGCTCGATATCCTAACCTCCTAATGTCCATATTCAGAATATTTTTTTTCTTTCAAATCAATGGTGATGTACAATTCAATCAACCAATTACTAGTAATTAGTTATCACTTGTTAAATCCCTGCATTTCTCATAAAAATCTCGCAATTTTAGTAGCATTTCACTTTGAGTCCTATCAGCTACTTCTTCATCAGTCTTCATTACGTCAAAACACAAGTGACGCACGTCATGAATATTTATGAGATTACGTCAAAAACTGATCATGTGACCACATTCCTAAACAACGCAAAATGGAGTTTTATCTACTAAACAAGTACTTTATTTTACGAAACTTTTAATTCTCATTTAAAAAACTGTGTTTAAAAACCAGTTTTTTAAACCCAATTTTTCACAAGGAACACGATTTTTGGCTCAATTTTGCGATTTGTGGCCTTTTTTATCGATTTTGTCGATCGCTCACGCGATCGTATTATATTGTACACCGCCTTCGGCGGCACCTATTTTAGCGCCATATTTATAGGGACCGGTATACTAGAAGTGTTCCATATTTCAAAAATTATTGTTATTTATGAAGGTAAAAAATCTGCCTCATTACAAAGGAAAATCTGAAACCCACCGTGTTCACATTAAAAGAAGTTTCACATGTGCAAATGAATGAATAAATTATACATTTAGTCTACATGTGTTTATATTCCTCTACGAATTAGGCTAGATCATTACAGTTGTACTGTGTTGATAGAGTATGGATAAATATAATAATCGTTCAGTAGTCATTGTTCTCAGAAACGTAATTAATCTTTCAAAAAAAAAAAAAAAAAAAAAAAAAAAAAAAAAAAAAAAAACAAAAACAAAACAAAAAAACAAACAAAAAAAAAACGTTAACATACTTAATAATTGCAAATCACGCAAGGATAAATTAAAATTTTACGGTTTCCACAATAAGAGAAATGATTTCGATGAATTGTATGACATCTTGACTTCATTATCAGAAATATAGAATTCAAAAGCATATATTTTAATAATATACTACGGAAGTAAATACAGCTTTAACAACCCGTTTTGTCCTTAAACTCCAATATACCAACAAAGTAATTGTCGCGGTTATATATGTAATATGTTTAATCACAAAAGAGCCCAGTCTTGTTTTCCACAATATTTCGAATTGAAGATTACACCCTGCATTTCCTACAAATATACTAGACTTTGAATCCAAACTTTTTAATTACAAGACCACTTTACAGAGCCTGGATACTGAGCATCTGAAACATAATCCTCCATTGTGCGCGTCATTACTAGCTATAGTGACGTAAATATAAATAAATACTGAGGACCTTAAACCACTTATTTTAAAAGGGCCAAAATTTAGGTAACCCGATCTTTCAACTGGAATCATAATTTCATAAATATTATGAATTCTGTGGAAGATTACGCCAGGCGATGGACCAGACATGAAAAAGAAGACCTTGACATATTGTCAGAATGGATTAAATGTATCAGATGTATGTTAACATCTCGCATTAAGCGATTGAGGGGCAATATGAGAACCATCCATCCTTTTGTTTTCAATAATTCAGAAGTGAAAAAGAATTAGATAGACAACACGAACAGTATGGATAGGTCCCCGCTGACAAAGCAGGTAACAATATTGTCTTTGTTTGCAAGGCTCATTATTTTAGTTGTATTTTAGAGGATCGAACTGGGATTTAATTCTACAAGTTGTAATTCAGCATATTCCCATAGCTCCCTTTCTAAGGAGGAAATTCCTCAAAATCATATGTCAGTTTTGAATATTTTTAATAATCCCAACAACCAAAATGAATTTGAATTACCATATTTATATTGGATACCGAAACTTGTTTACAAACAAAGATATATAGCGGGTTCCAGTAAATGTTCTACTAAACCTCTTTCTTTACTCCTCACTAAAATATTAACAGCATTGAAGGAGAAACTTTAGGAGTACTGTGCACCAATATATTCGAGAAGTGGTGTAAATCAGATGTGGATACTTAAATATTCCAAGAAAACTTTTGGAAGATTTGAAATTACAAAATTTTACCAAAATCAATAGCATAAAAACTTACGACTTTTTTGACTCTATATACAACCATTCCCCATTATAAATTAAAGTCCAGGATTTTTGACATCAATGTCAGCTGCTTTTTCAATAAAAATGGAACTCGTGAATTTACTTACCTTGTCATAGGTCATTTGCAATTTTATTTTGTTAAAAAACATTCTGATTTTACACACACGTACTCTGAAGTTGTTAGTAAAAAGATGCTTGAATTTCTGATTGACAATATCTATGTGGTTTTTTAAGACCAGTTCTTCGAACATTATGTAGGAATTTCCATGGGTACCAATTGCGCCCCCTTGTTAGAAGACCTATTTTTGTATTCATATGAAACAGAATGTATTGAAAATCTCATGCATGAGAAAAAGAAAACTCTTGTTTGGCCTTCAAATCGACATTTAGATATATCGACGACGTATTATCAATTAACAATAGTTAATTCCATTCATATGTCGACACGATACATCCAAGTGAGCTTGAAATAAAAGATACCACAGATCCTGACACATCTGTTTCATATTTGGATATTTCACTAGAAAAAGAAGTAAATGGTAATCTAACAACAAAGCTTTATGATAAACATGATGACTTTAACTTTTAAATCGTCAACGTCCCTTACCAATGCAGCAATATACTTTCATCACCTGTATATGGGGTTTATATCTCTCAGTTGATTCGATACGCAATCGCATGCTCTACATATGAATAATTTCTAAAACGAGGTAAGTTATTGACAAACAAGTTGATGAAACAAGAATTTCAAAAGTCTCGTTTAATGTCATAATTTTGTAGATTCTATAATCGATACAATGACCTTGTCAGCAAATACAATCTATCATCATGTCAAATGCTGACTAATTGTTGGGACATTATTTACACAATGAATTGTCGACGGATTTTCCCGTTATTTCCCGATAATGACAAAGGGCACACGGCGGGTGTGACCGGTCGACAGGGGATTCTCTCTCCCCAATGGCACCTGACTCCCCTTCTGATATTATAGGGGTCCGTTTGTTTGCTCTGCTCCTGATTTGTATTGTTTGAATGGACTTTTTTGCCTGAATACTGTTCATCTCCATATATTTCATACTTATAAATACATTACAGTATACATTTTAAATGAATCTGACTTTTGACTTTTTGGTTAAACATACTTCTTTTAGAATTTTAGTAAATGAAGCATTTGCATTTTCATAAATTTTTGATTCAATAGCTTCTAGAACAATATGAAAATGTGACATATACAGTAAATATGAATATATACGTTTCATCCTCTGTCAAATACTTTTCAAAATGAAGTCCAAATACTTTCTACTTACATATATTTAAATGTTCTGTTTTAATAATTAATATTTTAAATGCTTGGAATAAGGTTGAAACATAACTCAGAGATAATGAATATTAATTACTTTTAGTATAAAATCGTCTTTTGTAGGTAATATAAAAATGCATCGACTTTATATAAACCTTGAAATGCTCTTAGCAAAATGTAGATAGCACTAAATTTCCCAAACAAAACACCTCATGCTTTGCTTGTTTCGAACTTGCAAAAAGACGTATTTTCTAAAGACAACCACTTGTTTAGGTATTTTACAATTTAATCGTCCTCCTAAATACATATCTTGTACTTTGAGATAATGTGAAATGTCTTTTAAGTTTTCAAATATCCACTAAGTCATTTCCTCGACATTATCAAAATTTTAAGAAATGATAGCATTAACAATACTCACTCTATTGCTAACATGAAACTAGTTTGGGAGTGATTTTTCGAATTTCTCTATCAAAGAACTTCATCAAAATAGTCCTATAAGAAATACTATTCAAGGAAGTCTATTTATTCAAAGAAGCATTCTATCTGGCTTGGGCCTTTTCCTTTCTATTTACAAAAAAGCCCCAAGAGAAGTTTTCTTTCAACAGAGATGTCAAACATTTTCCTTGTAAAAATGTTCCCTTATAGAGTGCTCTTCATTATATTTTTAAATCAAATCCCTAGAATGAAAATGTTTTCCTAGTTTGTCAGTAATATTGAAAACAGGTGAAATGATTTACATTGTTTTGTAATTCTAATGACTTTCGTGATTATATTAAATTATAAAATTAAATCATATATCTCTAAAGCTGAAAAGTTTTAAAAGCATTGACTAATCAAAGGCTGATGCATTATAAAGCATTTTGGCTTTAAACCATCATAATCTTGAAAACTAAATTTCTTTACATCAATTGCTCTGTGATCAATTGAAGGGGGGGGGGGGAGGAAATTTTGTAATAATTAATCATAAAAATCCTCTGGTACATCGTCTTTGGTAAGACGATGTATAAAATCATTAGCCTTTTGCATCATGGTAAGGAGATAAAAGAGAGCTAGTATGTCCTTCTCTAGTGTAGGAATATTTTCCTCACAATAGTTGGACATTGGAAAGACATGCGTTAATGGAATCTGCATGTATTCGGCAGCTTTCGTACATGTATCTCTAACGTCCTGACTCCGAAAGATATCCCGCAAGCTATGTGTGTTAGAAATACGAAGCTTGTCAATCTTACTGAAGAGAACCATTTGTGGCATATCTGCAAGAACAAATTGCAAGATAATATAGAAAATACATATAACAGCAAAAAAAAAAAAAAAAAAAAAAAAAAAAAAAAAAAATGGCGGAATGGCAGTGAACAGTACCTTGATACGACAAATGAACAGATGTTCAATGCAAAAACTAGGTAAGTCACTTCCCAGTATGCATTAATTAGGAAGTGTTTTATAGTTATTTGAGAATTCCACAATGATTAGCCATTAAATTAAATGTAGGGTATCGTGAACTCAATTAATATTTATACAACTCAAGGTGCTCAACATTTCCAAAATATAAAAGTTTCAACATTGCAATTTTAAGTCATTGTTAAATGATTACCACGTTCTGAGCCATTTGTTGATACATTGACGAAATTCAAATTTACAAATTTTCAATTTAGCCTCCCTCTTCGGTAAAGTTTGGCAAAGACATAAGAAAGAGATTTTAAGCAATCAAAATATATGTCCAGACTTTTTAACATCATAGACAGCTGCTTTTTTCAATAAAAATGGAACTCATAGATTTTCTTGCAATCGGTCATTTATAAAATAATTTTGTTAACAATATTCTGATTGTACACACAAGTACTCTGAAGTTGATATTTAAAAGATGCTTGGGTTTCTGATTAACAATATGTATGTAGTCTTCCAACTATCTGTCTGAATTTTTATTGGTACTAACGGCGCCCCGTTTTAAGCTATTTTTTTTATTTATATAAGTCAAAATTTATTCAAAAACTGCTATATGACAAGAAAAAGCCTCTTGCTGTGACCTTCAATTCAACACATATAGACCACATTTTATAAATATAAATTAAAAATACATGTATTCATTTTCATTTCTAAGTTGATTTGATATATACGTTTGCGCTCGAAATGAAAGATGCCAAAGAGTCTGACACATCTGTTTCATATTTGGATATTATACTATACTAGAAAAAGGCGTAAATGGTAACCTAACAATAAAACTTTATGACAAACATGATGGCATAAATTTCTCTATCGTCACCTTTCCTTATTTGAGTAGCAATATACTATTATCACCTGAATATGGAGTTTATGTCTCCCAGTTGATTCGATATGCAAGAGCATGCTCTACGTACGAACAATTTCCAAAATGAGGAAAACTATTGACAAATAACCTGATGAGACAAGAATATCAACAATGTCGTTTAAAGTCCACATTTTGCAAATTCTATGGTCGATACAATGACCTTGTCAGCAAATACAATCTATAACTAGAAACTCATTGCGAGCAATGAGAGGTCTTCCGTCCGATTCTGAAAATAAAAACGAAAATTCAAGCTGAAAGAGAGATAAAAGAAATTCAGTCACTCTGGAAATTTAACCCTGGTCGTCAGCGTGAAAATCAAACTTGCTAACGTTAACCATTCATTTTTTACATCACTTCCGGTCACGACCGGAAGTACCGGAAGTAACGGCGATACAAGATTTTCTCACGATTCATATAACTGATGACTGACCATCAGTCTTGAAAGTTTTAGACTTCAGTCGTTTACTGTTGCCGAGCAATATTGTGAGATCAAATTCTAATTTTGAGGACAGGTAAACACGAGACCGGAAGTAAATTTTATAAAAATCTTTGACTTTTCTCTAGACATTTGCAGTATATACAACATACATAAAGTCATTTCAAGTACTTTATCGATGAACAATATTTATGAGAAAGTTAAATATCAAAGTAAAGTAGTTTATCTCCTAAAACCGGAAGTTGACGTTTTTGTTTCCGGTGGAATCTAACATATTTCCAAACAGCAAAAGAGATGCAATAAAGTGATGCAAGCATAAATTTAAAAAAGAAAAGTTAATTTTTTTTTTAGATTTCTTTGATCACTTACTGTGACAAGCGGAAGTGACGACTGACGCGTTTCACCCAAATGGTTTTGCCTACTCCTCAAGGTCTATTACTCATAAAAGTTTGGTGTTTTAATCTTTTACCTGGTTTTGAGATCTCGCTCAGACAACTTCACATTTTTAGGACAGGAAAACATGCGACCGGAAGTGAATTTTTGAAAGATATTTACGATTACTCTAGACATTTGCAGTCTGAATAACATATTTAAAATTGATTTCAAATACTTTTTCTAGAAAAAATATTGATGGAAAAGTAAAATACTCAAATTATGTAGTTTTTCTCTTATAACCGGAAGTTGTCACTTTTGTTTCCGGTGAGACCAACATCTTTCGAATCTGCGAAAAAGATGCAATAAAGTGATGCAATTTTTAATTAAAAAAAGAAAAGTTGAAATTTTCGATTTCTTTGATCACTTCCTGTGACAACCGGAAGTGATGGCTGACGCTCTGAACCCAAATGGTTTTGCCTACATCTTAAGGTCTGTTGCTCATATAAGTTTGGTGTCTTAATCTTTCGCCGTTTCCGAGATCTTGCTCAGAGAACTTCTCATTTTGAGGACAGGAAAACACGCGACCGGAAGTGAATTTTACAAAGATATTTGATGTTACTCTAGATATCTGCAGTTTGAATAACATATTTAAAATTCATTTCAAATACTTTATCTACAAAGGATATTAATGGGAAAGAAAAATACTAAAATTATGTAGTTTTTCTCTTATAACCGGAAGTTGTCGTTTTTGTTTCCGGTGGGACCAACATATTTCGAAACTACAAAAGAGATGCAATAATGTGATGTAAGTATTGATTTAAAAAAAGAAAGTTGAAATTTTAAATTTTAAATTATGATTTCTTTGATCACTTCCGTAAACGACCGGAAGTGCCGACGACGAACGAAAATGCGATTCCACAAATTTAGAAGTTACGATCTATGCTCTCCAATAAGTCTCCAGTTCATATCTTTAGTCATTCTTGAGAACATTCGAGGACAAAATTTCATTTTAAAATCAGGAAATTGCCCGTAACTTGGAACCAAAATGGAATTTTCCAAATTTTCCTTGTGATGAAACAAGTTCATACAATGACTAATTTTTCCTGAAAGTTTCACGAAAAACCACTGAATAGTTTTCGAAAAAACGCCTGCACAAAATTTGGTCCAAAAAAAAAAAAAAAATAATAATAACTAGATGCGTTTCTTGTTGCTAGGGCAACAAGTGGTCTTCCGACCGAACTTTTCTCCAGATCGCTATGCTACCTCACTTCATTTAATACTTTAAGGTATTTTTTGTTTGCGTTTATGTAACACAGTCTTTCAACATAGATCATGATTATTAAAGGATTTCTGTAGAATCTCTGTTAAAAAAGCTTTAAAAAATAAGCAAAAACTATCATACATGTCTTCACAGAGAATATCATTTTCCACTGAAAAAAGAGAGAAACAATCTCCCGCCCCAGCAGGATTCGAACCCGCAACAATACGAGAAAGATTGGATCGATCATATCTTTGCAATAAATGCAGCAATCAAAATGATGAAAATATACGTAGAATTCTTAGAAGACTATCTATTAATCCTGTAAATCCCAGAGAAAAATATTGAAAAACAAAAAAGTTACAAATTTAACATTTTTGAATTCACTTCCGTTTGCGACCGGAAGTACGAACGACGAAAAAATAATGGTCGATCAACATATCTACATTTGATGCTCTACAACCTCAGCAAGTTTCATATTCATATCTTATCATATACATCGGAAGACCTTAATAATAACTAGTAAACTAATTGTTCAGAGAAGAATTAGAGGAGGCCTTTCCACCTTTTTAAGTGTTTTCGTGTCATTTTGGGCTGAAAAAAAAAAAAAAAAGAAAAATGCAAAAAAATGCAAATAAAAAAAAAAAAAAAAAAATTCCTCCTCCAGCTAGGATCGAACTCAAAACCTTTGGTTTGAAAGGCAGGGGCGCTAACCACTGCGCTACACATTGCGATAAAATTGGGTAAGTTAATTGTTTAAGACTATAGAATAAATACAAGCGTATTTTTAGAATCGGTAGGGGAAGAAAGAAGTTCCGTAAAAGAAAATAGTTCCTGAACTTGCAAGCAGTATATAAAATAACAAGGGACGGACTGCGTGAGAAAACGTTAACACTGTTCTCAAATGAAAATGTATTAATGGACTATAGCCCGATTCATCGATATTGTGAGCATGCTGAATTTTTTGAAAATAGCTTTGTTGTAAGCTTAAAAGATCAGGTTCGGATTTTAACATTTCTGACTGAATATCCTGAAATAAATATGAAACATTGAAATAAGCATTTCTTTGGGTTAAATTAAATATGTGTAGCACAAATTAAACTCCCAACATGCATTTTTAGAAGGGAAACACGACAATGAAAGCGAGAATTGTTTTTAATCTACCGAAAATCGCTATTTCTGGAAACTGATTAATTCTAAATAAAAATCAAATGAATTCCAAATGTAAAAGAAAGAGAGAAAGCTTGGTATTAAAATGTTGTATCATATCAGGAAAATCGAATGCTACTAACGCCATCTGAAGAAATAGCCGATAAAAGGTTTAGATCATTTCTTCGTTCACCTGCACTTTAATTTCAAACACAACAGAACTTGTAGTTCTTGCCGTGAAACTTCATAACTTCTATAAACTTACAAGACTCACCGTAAAACTCTCAAGAAAGTTTCTCTGAGGTCTATACTACATATGTACCAAATAAGTTGTCGATCCGAGGTCTGGTTTGAATTTTACAGAAATATTCTACGTTGTTGTTGATGTGATTTTTTTTTAAGAAGGAGGGGGGATGAATTATTTATTTTATGCCTCTTTTAAACTAAGAATTGTAACTACTTTCACATTTTTAAGCCTGATTGGGACCTTTGGGTCAAGATCAAAGGTCAAAGTCAAAGGTCAAGGTCATTTCAAAGAAAAAAAAAGGAAATCTTTACTTTCTATGTTTTTACCTGATACTGGAGCTGGATGCATGTCCTTACTTTTCATTTGACCCAATGTCAAGGTCAAAGGTCAAGGTCATTTGGTGAATTGCTATATTTTACACATATATAAGGAATTTCTTACGTTTTTAAATGACTTTGACCTTGACCTATATTTCAAGGTCAAATTCAAATATGCCGATGCAGTTGGTCCCATGTCTCTAGGATACACCGTTTTTTTTTTTTTAAAAAAGTTCATTAAATGTAAGCAGCATAAACTTTCAGGGGCAGTAACTCATACAAGGGACGAAAGAATGCTTTTGCAATGATAGAATGAAGAGAGTACTAAATGAGTCGAAGACACTGATGAAGGCTTGGAATCTCTACGTTTTACGGTTTCGGAGGAGTAGCGATAACAAGGTTTTATTGCAAAAGGGGTGACAATTTTTGAATGGGTCAAGCTTTGGGGACAAGAATAAAATCCTTAAAATAGTTTTAGAAGGACATATTATAGATGCAAAGATATTCAGTGTATGTCTACAGAATCTCTGACAAAAAAGCTTTTAAAAATCAGCAAAAGCTACCATACATGTTTTCAAGGAGAGAGAAGTCATTAGCAACTGAAAAAAGAGAAAAACAAAGAAAAAAAAAATTAACTGCCTCCAGCAGGATTCGAACTCCAGACAGTGGGACAAAGTTTTGATCGGTCATATCTTTGCAATAAATGCACGCATCAAAATATTGAATACCTATTTAGAATTCTTGTAAGTCACTCTATAAACCCTGTAAATTCTAAAGAAAAATATTGAAAAACAAAAAAGTTGAATAATTGGACTTTTTGAATTCACTTCCGTTTGCGACCGGAAGTGCCGACGACGAAAAATAAAGGTCGTTCCCCATATTGAAATTTGATGTTCTATCTATTCATTGAGATTCAATTTCATATCTTTAGCCGTTCTCGAGAAAAGTTCTGGACAAAATGCCATTTAAAAAATACAAATTTCCCCAAAAATCGCGAACTGAAGGGAATTTTGAAAAAATGAAAAACACGTCTGGAGATATTTACATGATGCATCTTCCCTGAAAAAATCTCTGAAATCTGCTTACTCACAGCTGAGATATCGCCATAACTATGAAAAAAAGAATAATAATAATAATAATAATAGAAAACAGACGGAAAACAATAAGGTCTTCCGAAGGAAGTCGAAAGACCTTAATAATAATAAGAAACAGTAGAATCACTATAAGGTCTTCCGTGAAAACGGAAGACCTTAATAATAATAAGAAACAGTAGAATCACTATAAGGTCTTCCGTGAAAACGGAAGACCTTAATAATAATAAGAAACAGTAGAATCACTATAAGGTCTTCCGTGAAAACGGAAGACCTTAATAAGTCAAATATTGACTGACTTTTCTTTTTACAAATTGTAAGTCCATTGTCTACACATTTTCCTAACCATGACAAAGAGCACACAGTGGGTGTGACCGGTCGGCAGGGGACGCTCCTCCATGGCACCTGATCCCATCTCTGATGTTTTATTTTAGATGTCTGTGTTTGCTCTTCTCCAAATTTGAATTGTTTCAATAGACTTTGAGATTGATTACTGTTCGTTATCTTCGTATTTCATTATATTTCTTTAATCTCTCCATATTTATGTTTCAAATGCAAGTTATAAAATAATTAAAAGCCCTTTGCCAAACGACTCTCAGTAGAAAATATTGAAAAGTGAATGCGTGATCAACATTTCATAAAGTTTATGGACATCTTACAAAATTTAATATCAATAATTTAAGATCTCTTAGGCATTTGAAAGGGTTGCATTCTTGGTAAAAGAACATGCACAGAATATGAAGATTGCACAAATTTCAAGATGATCATTGCAACTCAAGCAACGTGTCGAGTTTAACTGTAGGTAAAATATCGGCAGCATATTTGTTCATTCGTACACATGTCGAATTGTTTATGATTGGATATGATTTTTTCCAGAGTTGTGTGTTTTCTATCCTCGAGCTTTCATGTTTTACACACAGCTATCACATTTTTAACACTGTTTTATATACTGTGAAAACACTTGTTTTAGTGGGGTTTAATTTTCGTCGTTTTCGAAGCATGAAGAGACTCACGAATTTATGTCCACCACGAAATGTAAAATGTCACATACGAGGGGTGATCAAAAAGTTCGCGAACTATCTCTATATTTACAAAACCACAGTTCAGATCACAATGAAATTTGGCACACATATAGTCATACACATGTTCTATAAATAACATATATTAAATAATGTTTTGCTCCGTGTTTGTGACGTCACAATGTGAAAATGACGTCAATATGTAGGTCACTTGTGACAAAAAATGGTTGACTCAGTCGTACTCGAGCAACGAACGGCTGTAAAGTTTAACGTATACCTTGGAAATTCCTTTGCAGTAGAATATGATAAGTTGTACAAGGTTTATAAAGATAAAAATACTAACCAGAAGTTCAATCATTAATTGGATTGATTGTTTAAGTAAAGACAGGGAGACGGTTAAAAATGATGTTTGTTCTGTTGCCCAGCGAAAGCAAGCCGGGGAAAAGATATGTCCTTAGTTGAGCAATTTGTTATGAAACTTCGTCAAGTAACAATTAGAAAAATGGTTGCATATCCTAACAATAATATAATTATTAAATCTCTAAAATGTCGTTTACTTTAGACTTTAAACATATGAGATATGATAAAAAGAAGGTGCCCATACTTTATCCACATTGGATAAAAGACTCTCCCGAGATAGAGGACTCGGGTTGTGATGGGTCACCATACTAATTGTGGGAAGGGATATCCTTATCCACCCATCCTATTGCCAAGCTTTGGCCATTTCTGACAGATGGGCTGTTCTTGTTATAAAAAATAACTTGCATGGTAAGAAATATAAGAATCGGAAAAATCTTTTAGCTTCTCTGAACAGACTGCTTCGGAGTATGTCACGTGACTTGCTGTATCACGTGATTGGCGCATGGGCAGAACAATGGCAGATGTGCATTAAAATCGGAGAGGACTACTTTAAAAAATAATAAACACTGAAACTTCATTTCATTTCTTTTAAAGAAGTAATTCAATTAGTTCGCGAACTTTTTGATCACCCCTCGTACATAACTACTCAACAATTCTATATCAACGAAATCAAATTCCTGCCAACCCATAGTTTTTCCTCAAACCACGAAAATTTGAAAATTTGTGATTTTATATATGATGAATGTATGTTTTCTTATCTGATATAAGTAGAGATGCAAAGTCATGAGCATCGAGTACTGTTGTTTTTTCTCCTTAAGATATAAACAAGCTTACGACTTATTTGCAAGTGCAAATTATTTATCTATTCCAGCTATTCTTTGTATCATGGCTTTAAATATGATTTTTAAATTTTATATACATGAAAAGACAAGTTTTATAAAATACTTTTATGTTTCTTCTTGGCACGGATAAGGTTGTAAGATATATTATTCATAACTTTTTCTTATCAATTAGAAGTCGTTCACCAGCAAAGTTTGTAGGGTCCTTCATATGAAAGAGCAACACTCTTTATTGCTGTCTAAGCAAAAATATGGAGTCATTTAGGAAAAAACCATGAAATAAGGGCGAATTCATATAAGATATACCTTTTCAGAAAAGAATGTCTTTTCACTTCATTTGCCAGTCTGATAATTTTAAAAGTAAATATTATCAATTTGTGGCAAAATTCAAAACTTAACTCACTTAACTTACTTTGCCAGTAGCATATAAAGTAAGACTAAAATCTTACGCTGTTTTGCTAGGTTTTCCCTAACATATCGTAATTGTTCCTCAGTCTTGTGATCCATTAGCTGTTCGGAAGGATTTTCAGCATTGGCAACATACACAACACAGTGCATACGGTCTTTGGTTTCCGGAGACTTTCTATAACTAGGATCATTTTCTTGGATAGGAGCCACCGGATTGATCTTCAATGTATTGTTTTCATACAAATTATCAACAAAAAAATAAGCAATATTACTACTTTTTTATATTAGTACTAACAATATATATATTTTATGTATACAATTTGCATGACAGTTTGTATTCCACATATAACGGAGTCCATAATATACGTAATCTTAAAAATAACTTACAGGCACTTCGGGTATGCACTATATTTTATCGATAATGTAAACCTTTTGTCTCTATAAGTTGTTTTTAAATATATCGTTTTCGACTGATACATAAGAAGAGAGAAGGCTTTCAACTCTTTTCTCGTCGTCTGCCTCTATCGCTTAAACTTTGAGTGATTATCTATCTAAACGTAAGAAAACATAGAATATGCATACATCAATAAATTTGTTATATATTCTTCCTCCTTTTCATATTTCCATTTAAATTTCATGTGCACCCGATTTGTAAATATTTCAATTAAATCATCCGCATCTAGGGTAAATTTACTTGGTGTGCAACAGCTGGGACGGAAGTGCCCGGTATTTTCGGGCGCCATCATTGTGTGTAATTAGCCTGGTTCCCTGTGCCTGTTGTGCTTCGTATACTCCGCGACACAAGGGCCAGGTGGACTACAATGGATTGAGGGCGAATCTGCCCTAAATCTGAGCCCATTGTGAAGTCGTCTTTAGCTGCGCTTCTGGTGTAGAAGTTCATTGTGACGTCGTATTTTTCTACGCCGTCGATGCAATGTATCATCGTGGCGTCAATATTTATTTATTTACGTGGTTATCGGCAACTGCTCAAGAATCCAAGATTTAGCGCGAATTGTTCTGACCAAGCAAGGGACAGCAGCGACTGTAATCCACCTGGTTGTCCTGCCTTGGCAAGGATAAGCCAGGGAAACCAGGCTATATATGTAATGTCATACGGAACATTAAATGCTAGAGGGAAAAAAATCCCGAATTTTCTCTTCCGTGTTCCGTGTATATAACAAGGTAACTGTAACTTGTAAATTCTGATGGATGAAAATTAACATTTCACATACGACCTAAACAACCGAATTTCACAAAATTTTTATTATAAGGCCGGGATTTTTTTAAAATGCAAAACATTTATAAAGTCGGAGTTACCGTTATTGCACTTTCGTCCCAGCTGGTCCAAACCCCAAGCGCCTGTGGAAAAATTGGCAAAAAAAAAATACTACTCTAAAAAATAGAAACATGTATATGCATGCATGTTAAACTGTTAGCCTTAAAAAAGCAAGCAAACCTGATATCCACTCTTAACATGTCCCTCTACGATTGCTCGTATGTCCTCTGTGGGAACACCGTATTCAATATTGAGTCCTCTGCAATCAAATAACCGCACCGGAAGGAATCCTCCCGCCTTTGTTTTCATTGGAAATGATTCAAGCTTTAATTAACAAAGGAAAAAAAAACATTTTCATGTGAATAAAAAAAGAAAATATAAAATGAGAGATAATTAAAAAAAATTGCTAAGTAGAAGCTTGGAGATGTAATCTTTTTTGGTAATGAACAAATTGATCAAAATGAAGATCTAAATATTTTGAATTCAATTAACATCGTCCCTATATATATATATATATATATATATATATATATATATATATATATATATATATATATATATATATATATATATATATATATATATATATATATATATATATATATATATATAATATGATATGATATGATATGATATGATATATATATATATGATATACGATTTGGAAGCTATCACACACACACACACACACACACACACACACACATACACACACACACACACACATATATATATATATATATATATAAAATACCTCTGTGATTTTTTTTCTATATAAAAATATGACAAATAAACATGCTATTTTTTCCAAACAGCCCCTACCGTGGAATAGTTTTTGTGCTATTTGCCCATGGTGAAATAGTCATTGAACTATTCACCCGCAGCATTCTGTTCCCCTCGCTTTTTATCTCGGAACTCTTCTGGTTTTATCCAGATTGTGACGTAATACAAGTAAAGACTGCTTTGGTACAATAAAACACCTATTTACTGATATATATGTATATATATATATATATATATATATATATATATATAGAGAGAGAGAGAGAGAGAGAGAGAGAGAGAGAGAGAGTACAAGCCAAAGTAATACCTATTTATACGAAAAATGACGATGTCGACCATAGGGTCTTGATACAATCCTAGCAAAATCGGGTATATAGTATAATAGGGGAGAAGGGACCTAACGAGCCGCCATTAATTCCTCGATTTCTATTTAAAAAAACAATGAAAAAGTTTTGCCAGTCGAAAGGTAGAATGTTGTCCTTTATTGTCATAAATTAATCATTTACCTTGCTTTATTAAAACTTAGAAAAAAATATTCGAACTTCTGAGAATAAGGTCGCCGTCGTTAACCCTACACCATTTTTTCCATGCAATTCTCGTGCATTACCTTAATTTTTCCGCACTTGTCATCTGTTGCACTCTATCTTAGAGCAACGTTTGAAAAAATATCTCTGCTTTTGGTCATCCTCACAATATTTGAGGGACCGCGTTGATCGTCCGTCTCGAGAGATCAACTCCATTTTCACCTTTGATTAGCCTTCGAGTTCAATTGGGTCAACTATATTGAATGAAATTCGCACTGAATGACTAAAGTTTAAACGGTGAAAGACGATTGGGTAATATTACTAGTTGTTTACGGAATCAAATATGGCTGCTAAGATAGAGTTGCTCTAAGATAGAGTGCAACAGATGACAAGTGCGGAAAAATTAAGATAATGCACGAAAATTGCATGGAAAAAATGGTGTAGGGTTAACGACGGCGACCTAATTCTCAGAAGTTCGAATATTTTTTCTAAGTTTTAATGAATTAAGGTAAATGATCAATTTATGACAATAAAGGACAACATTCTGCCTTCCGACTCAAAACCTTTTCCTGATTTTTTTAAAAAATAAGAATCGAAGTTTAAAGAGTTTGAAGCGAGGCACCGAGGAATTAATGGCGGCTCGTTAGGTCCCTTCTCCCCTATTATACTATAGACCCGATTTTGCTAGATTGTCTCAAGTCCCTATGATGTCGACCATGATAATTATCATCTGATTTCTATCTTACCAATGCTATCAAAGCTTATAGAAATGTCTTACTAATGCTATCAAAGCTGATAGAAATGCATGTCGCTAAAATAAATCCGACAGTTTACTTCTGTATTTGATCTATAAGCACAATCAGGATTTAGATAGATTCATTCTTGTCAAACTGTACTCACAAAACAAACAGAAAGCTGGCTTAATGATCGATTGGTTGATTGTATGTTGTTTTACATCCCGTTCGAGAATTGTTCACTCATACAGAGATGCCATCATATACCGGTGAAGGACTTCAAATTTAGACCTTTACACTCGGCAATTGAGCAGTGAGAGTTCTTTATCGTGCTAACGCCTACCATGACACGGGGCCTCGGTTTTAAAGGTCTCATCCTAAGTACCCACAATTTTCATTTCAAAGTGCCGAGCGCTTGGCGAAGAAACAGTTGCCACCTATTCTTATCGACTTAGGTCAGTAGCGGCTGTGATTCGAACACACAACCTTCCGATCATGGAGCGAGCGATCTACCAACTGAGCTACCGTGACGGCTTGTTGGCTTAATATAATGGATCGTGGTGAACTAATTGGTATGATATTTATTGATTCCAGTAAAGCTTTTGATTTGGTGAACCATGGTATTCTTCTAGAGAATTTAATTCATTACATGTTTTACTATTTGGATATTTAGTGGTTTTAATTCTACCTTAATAACAATACGCAAAAATTAGAACATGTGTTTCCGATATCCTACTCGTCACAGCAGGAATACTGCAGGGTTCAATTTTGGGTCCACTTTCATTTTAATTGTACTTAAATGACCTTCAATTACATGTAAACATGAAAATAATTCAAAAGTTGACATGCTTGCTGATGATGTAACTTTACATACTAATAATCATAATTCAAGATGTTTAAATTGCCAATAGCTATAATAATTAAAATTAGGGGCAAGTATTTGAATATATAGAACTCGGACATACGCTCATAGGTCTCCCGCGTGGCGCAGTGGTTAGAGCGTCTGCTCTAGAGTCGCGAAGTAAGGAGTTGATCCTTACGTCGGTTCGAATCCCACTGTGGGACGTGGAGACCGGTCCTTCGGATGAGACCGTATAAACCGAGGTCCCGTGTCGCAGTAGGTGCTGGCACGAAAAAGATCTCTCACTGCCCAATGGCCGTAAGTGCCGAGTATAGGACAAAATTTGCAGCTCTCCACCGGCAAGTGGTGGCGTCTCCATATGAGTGAAAAATTCTCGAGGAGACGTCAAACAACATACAAACAAAAACAAAACATACGCTCATAGTATTCTTTCATACAAGAAAATTCAAGCAAAAAAAAAAAAAAAAAAAAAAATAATAATAATAATAATTAAAAAAAAAAAAATAAATAAATAAATAAATAAAACATTTGTAGCTCTGGATTTCGAATATAGAGAAACATATGCTTGCAAGAAATCAACCGGCAATGTAGTTTGTACAAAAATACAAAACAAAATAATTTACAGCTGTGGTGACACCCCTTGAGGACTTCTGGTAAACTAGGTTTGCCGTCACTAGTCTTTCATCATCCATAATGGCAGTCGCACAGGTATTGAAAAATGAAGATTTTCCAGAAGCAGCTTGACCAAGAAGTAAAATATTAAAATAACGTATGCCACCAGCTGGTGCTATCGTATTTATTTTCTGCAGAAGCTCCTCTTTAAACTAGGGGGAAATAAAAAACAAAGTACAAAATGAAAATGTCAATGCTGAAAAGACAGAAAAACATTTTTTTTATATGCATAACTACAAGAGATGTATTTCTTCGAAATTTTATACTGCCGAAAAATTTTTGCTACTTCTTCTCTTTTTGACTTCTTTATAATTATTACCTAATCTTAATACATCTTCTAGTCAAAATGACAATTGTGCCACAAAAGGAGCTTTAAATATTTCTTTATACACATGTTATAAAGATATGAATTATGACATCCTGATTTTTTGCCAATGACATTCAACCAGAATTAATAGATTCAATAATACCATGTTTTACGTATATTCACCCACTTTCTAAAAATTAAAAAAATACAAAATTGCATAATATTTTTTTTCTTTCTTGCAATTTAGCATAACCTTCTTACGCGTGCTATGAATTATTTTCTGCAATGTTGCCACCATTATCCCCCGTACCTAGACACTTTATGTTCAATTTAGGCGGAATTGTTAATATTAGTCCATAATTTGACCACAAGAAATGCCTGGTCATCAGTAGCTGCTAAATATATACCACCGTCAAATTGATATTAATCAGTTTGTATAAAATTGACGGGATTTACTTATGAAATAAAAAAGAAAACGAACAGTAACCAAGCACAAAACCACATTTGAAAAATACAAACTGGGAGCAAAGCAAATACGGACCTCTTAAAACATCATAGGTGGGATCATGCGCCGTAGAAGCCCAAAAATACCCCGCCGTGCGCCCAAATGCCACGACCGGGCAAAAGAAAAAAAAAACGTGGACAGTTCAGTGTAAAAATTATGGCCTAACAATACAAATTCTAGGTTATAGGTTAGCGCAATTGGATACCCCACAGAGAAAATTTCTGAATACATTGATTAACATCTCCGTCCACACGTAGAGAATTTGTCATCCTATCTCAAGGACACCACAGACTACATTAACAAGACGCCCTCTACTGGCCTTCCAGATCATACCCTTCTCGTGACTATGGACGTCACATCTTTGTACACCAATATTCCGCACGATGAGGGTATCGAAGCCTGTAGAGAAGTCTGGGATAGTAGATCCATACAAATTCCTTCTACCGAGTCCTTTGCCAAGCTCCTTGAACATGTTCTCAGGTATAACAACTTCATGTTTAATGGAGAACATTACCTGCAGGTTAATGGCACTGCTATGGGTACGAAAATGGCACCATCTTATGCCATTATTTTCATGGGCAGACTTGAACGCAACTTGTTATTTCAAGCACCATTTAGGCCCCTTAGCTGGTTGTGTTTCATTGACGATATAGAGATGAAGTGGGTGGAATGTCGCGAGAGTCTCGAGGCATTCATTTCTTTTTCCAACACCTTTCATCAGTCTATCAAATTTACAGTAGACGTATCTAATTCGAAAAACATATTCCCAGATACTACATCTACCCTGATTGATGGTGAAATCGAATTCAGTCTCCACACGAAACCCACAGATTCCCATCTGTATCTTATGCCAACTAGCTTTCATCCCCCACACACATTCAATTGTTTACCTAAAGATCTAGCCACCAAAATTCCATATGTTCATCCCTGCCTTACATCAGGAACAAAGCGGTCTCCTCAAGTCCCACTTATGCAAGAGAGGCTACAATGCCCGCACCGTACAAACTGCTATTGATGAGATGGCGGGACATGACAGGCAAAACCTATTACGCTACATGGAGAAAGACAAGAGCGGCATGATCGCTCTGGTAACCACATACAACCCCGTCCTTAAGAACCTCAGCGGCATCCTCCAAAAGAACCTGCCAATTCTCAACTCAAATAAACGAATGGCAGAGGTCTTTATGGAGCCCCCATTGGCTGCATACAGACGCCCGAGGAACCTAAAGGACATGGTAGTAAGAACCAGATTGGACAATCCATTCCCTAACGGTGGCTTTAAAACTTGTTCTGACAGAAGATGTCTTCTCTGTGAGCACAGCTCATATATATATATATATATATATATATATATATATATATATATATATATATATATATATATATATATATATATATATATATATATATATATCTGAAAGTAGGGCGTGGGATCTTTTCACCCATATACATGACTGGCATATGGATATTAATTTACATGTATAAGTTTTTCGAAAGAGTACTTGCGATCAATTCATATTATACGCTCTTTTCCGGTTAATAACGTTGATCTTAGTAAAAAAAAGAATAACTGTTTTCATTGAACGTGCTTTTCTTTCCAAATATATTGTATGCAACGTTGTCCGACATTCAAAACAAATAGACGTTTCATTTTCGAAACGGTTACACTGCTAGATTAATTGACTAATCCCGAGGCTTTCATATTTTTCATTATGATTTTCAGCTCTATTTAATTAAGCTCAACATAAGATATATGTTGTTGAAAAAAAGGAAGGAAAACTTATAAAGTCCCACTTTGATCTTTGCAGATAAATACGGGTGTTTCATGCATGGGACTTGGGTTTCCTCAAACAAAAATTAAACGAAGATTCGTTTAAAATCACGCAGCAACTAATTTAAAGTGAATATAGAATCTGTCTCGAATCATCTCCATTTAATTGAATGAAAAATGAATATTAATAAAGTGAAATTACAAAATTACAGGAGAAAATGATAATTTGTATGTGAGGTAGAAGTACCTTGTTCAAATTCAATATAACAAAGAATAATTCTTGGGGAAAAGTATAGATAAGTTCATTAAACGAATACCTCCAGAGACCAAGGATCTTTCGATTTGGAAGATATTGCTCTCCAAGGTTCCTCTAATGGTTCTAAAATTCATTGATATCAATAATATATAAGAATATTAATTAGAATTGAATTTCAACACTTCATATTTTTCCAAACGTATTTTACCGAGATATTTCCTTCTTCTCTCTTCTTCCTCTGGAAAACAATACATGAATTAAGCAATGGTATATTATAGATTAGAATGCTCAATGAAAAATCATATACATCTAAAAAGCAGTGAAATTAAAGCGAAGCTTACCTTCCTTCTTCTGCTGTTGAAGCTTCAGCTCTAAAATAGAATTATAACATTAAGCAAATTGTCTACGGTAATCGTCTCTCTCTCTCTCTTTTAATTACATTACGTTTATATGCTAAAGTCATGAATAAATACGAGGGTTGTCCGGTAAAATCGTGGACAAGTTGTCTAGAGTAAAAAATAATCATCACTACGTTCTAAAATTTTTACTATTTTCTAATACATTTTTCATCAAAATACATAGCAAATTTCAAATAGATATGTGCTCAAATAAACAAAATATGAAACTTTATGTTATGTGTTGTATCGCCTTACGGCGCAAGTATGATAACGTCAAAGTGTATAAAGCAGCGTCACGTTTCCTCTTTGCTAAAAAAAGTTAGGTAAGCCCCACATAAATTCGGGAATTTCATTGATGCACATACTTGAGTTTCTTTTTATTCATACTTTTTTTCCTTCTGTGGCCATTTAAAGTTTCGTGGTGCGTAATTACTACATCTAAATCAAACGAAACTGCTCTCCTGTGCGCCGTAACGTCACCAAACATCGCCATTTTTTGCTTGTTGCGTTTACCACTTCCCCATTTGAAATGGTCGGGAAACTGCCAAATTTTAAGCAAATGCCTTAAAATTTTACAAAAGACGACATAATAGGTAGTGGATTAAAAATAGGATAATTTTTACCCCAACCTTTTCTATTTAGTACTTTTATTTCGAAATAATACTCATGTACTCGCAAATGAAATCCTGGTTATTTGATCGTGCGCCGTAGGACCGTACCCTGTGTACATTCAAGCAAATTTAAACACTTTGTTTTTTGTCTCTATTTTATCAAAAAAATTACGATGCACTTAAATCTGATAAATAAACAACTGCTGAAAATTTCAGCTTAGTGCGCCCATTATTTTTTGAGAAAAACGCTTTGTCCACGATTTTACCGGACAACCCTCGTAATGTTAGTAATGTTAAAAAAAGTGAAAGTTTTACATTATATATGCTAAATGATGTCCTCTATGTGATAAAATATTTAAAGTTCTGATCATCGCAGCACAAAGTTCTTTCATTCCTTGTCGTTTCACTATTTCATAATCATCTCCTTTTGAAAAGGATTACCTGCAATGCTCTTTAACACGATGCTTTTTGTGTCGCCTGCAGAGCAGAGTGGCACTTGGGGATGACTTTACCCGGCGTCTTTCTGTCTGTCTGTCCGTCTCTTTAACTGTCCGTCCGTCCGTGTGTCACACTCTGTATCTCAAGAACTGTAAGAGATAGTGATTTGATATTCTGCACATATATTCCTTGGCACTATGGCTTTTGTGTATTGCCATGGTTACAGACCTCGTGACCCTTGACCTAGACCTTTGACCTACTTTTTAAAAAATAGTTAATAGTACCAATATACAGCATATTTTTGACATTTAAGAGGAAAGTCTATGCTATTTAGCATGTGCAGTGATTGTCATAAAACATTATGAAAAATACCATCGTTACATTCCAATTGGCCCTTACCTTTGACCTACTTTGCAAAAAATACCGCGGAGAGTTTAATTTAACTTATGTCTTTTGAACTGTGAGAGGCGGGGGTGTTGATAATTAGCAATTATACGTTTATGAGCTCATGACACTGTACCTTGAAACTGTATGATATTCAGTTACCATACAAACTAGTATTTGAATACTATGAAAATACATAGGGATTGGTATCCCACAATGGATCTTGTACACTGATAATTGGAGTTAAGTCTTTGAAACACGTGTTTATACATGTGAAATGATAAATAATTAATCATTAATTTAATTTCAATTTAATTATTCATTTGAGGGTTGGGAATCATATTTTCTTTGATTTTCAGATTCTTTAGCAATTTTATACTATCCGTGGATACTTTTTTTCTGCATGAACTATCATGCTAGTAGTAAATAAATAGCTATCTACACTTCTAAGAGTAATTTACACCTTTAATGAAGCTACAAAGCAGGCTAAGCATGCATTCCTTGGAACACTCTAGTTTCATGTTCGGATTGAATTTACACAGTGATTCTGCATACATGTAAGTCAAATATGCAAACTTGACATACATCATCCGTAAGACATTCAGACGGACAAAAAGATTAGAAAATTATACTTGAGCGTTTGGTTCAGGTGATTTGACTCGAATCGAAAAAAAAAATCTAACCATAAAAAGAAGGGGAAAACACAAAAAGGAAAGAAATAACATAACATAAAAAACAAATGTCACTGTTACGACTGCAGGAATATACTAGTTGACTTAGAAATACTTTTTTGAGAGTGTGTTATTGCATTCTCTCATCATATTTTGTTTTTTCCCCAAAAAGTTACTTCATTTTAATCAAGAAATAGAAAGAGTTGCAATTAAAAAAAAAAATGTTTTATAATTTAAACAAGGTATCCACGAGAAAATTGTTAAAAATGTTGGACTTTGAGTTTTCAAGAATACTGTTTATTATCTCCATATTTCATTAATTAAAGTCTTATTAACAAAATGAACCATTAGCTAGTCTCAATATATATCAAAATTCATTTAAATGAAGTTAATGTAATGAGAAGAAGCATTTTTATTGTTCGAAGTATATCACTTTTACAAAGTTTTAGTGAACGTTATAGCACTTTCATAAAAAAAAAAATAATCCAAAGAGAAATGTTGAACTATAATTTTTTTTTATATACGTAATCTTAATTATTAAACAGATAAAAAAACTAAATGTATAAGCATATAGACAGTCTAACTTTAAATGAAGTTTATTTATGTATAGAGTTTAGTCAAAATCAAACTGAAAAGAGTTTTAAAAGAATTTAACAGATTATTCCATTTTAAGAAAATCATTTAATTGTAGGATATACATCAAAATCAATACATGATTAAAAATGTTATGTGACTTTATTAAGTCTAGTTATTGGGAAACCAGATCAAAATAAAATACGGAGTTCGGTATAAATGAATAAAACGGAAGTTTTGTATTCTATTTACCACGGGACAACATTCTGTCAAAAATAATTATTCACAAAACCGTATATAACCCTAGTCTACATGTAGAAGGAGGGTCACTCTTTGAAATAATAACGACCAGACAGACGGCGAAAACCAGACAGCGAGTGTAGTAATATTTTTATGATTAAATTTCGTTTGTAGGAAATGCTTGTCAGGACAAAAGACTGAAAACACAGCCATCATTAATGTCAATGGGTTCACAAGGAGCATCCAAACAATAAGCTATTCTATGTTTCACTAGAAGAACTAGGAAAGAGAAAGCCAAAGAAAAATTATCAAAACAAAGCCAAAAGTCATATAAAGACAAAAAAGAGGAAAACAAACAAAAACAAGAGCACTGCCAAGTAAAACATTCCTCCATGAAAAAAAAAAAAACTCATCTATTTTTGACACCCACTTTCAATGATCATATATAACTACTGCATCGAGTAATCTGTACGTACACTTAATATTTAAATGAAAAATGCACAAAGACTGCACACTTTTTCACAAGAACACTGACATCAGAGCAATATCAGTACAAGTTTAAAAATATACAAAAGTTATTTGAGTCAACACGTTCGTTAATCAGTTTGATTTATTAAAGCATATAAAATGTGCTTGTAAATAGACAATATCTTAAGAAATAATCAAACGAGTAACAATGATGAATAGGAATAATGAATATTTGAAAATGATTTGACTTATCATAAAGTGAAAGAATAAGACAATGCTTATTGATCCCGAGCCATCAAATTATCTTGTTTAACTATGTACACCCCTTGCTACCGACCATACTCTCTTTCTTTAAATACCTTTTAGTTTTTCTTCTAGCTCTGAAAAAAAAAAAATGCAAAAAAAAAAAAAAAAAAAAACCAGCTAAATTTCCACGTCTTTCAAAGAAATATATATAATTATGCATCAATTAATTAATATTAACTGTGGCATATCAAAAGTAAAAAAAAAGTAGAATAATTTTTTTTTGATTGTAATGTGTACTGAGTCTTGAAAGACACTTTGCTTGAATTAATGCACTGAAAAATAATGATTTTTATAATATATATAGTTATTATATCTTTATAAAAAGAAATCAATATAATTTACCAATCTGTTTTCGACGATCTGAAAAAAAAAAATATTGAGATTGAATAGCATTTGATCAGTTAACTCAGTGCTCAGTGATGATACACATATACTAGTCATTCAAATTTGAATATTCTTGAATAAAATAATTTAACCAAAAAAAAATTACAAATAATATATGAAAAGAAAATCAGTATTACCTTCATTCCTTTGTTGCATTCTTAGTTCTGTTCAAAAGAAAATATTTTAGGAAAAGTTTTATATATAATGATTAATGTTTTCTTGTTAATTCGATGATTTAGTTATCCGAGGACAATAATATTTATAGACCTCAGATGGTTGAGATGATATAGAACTTCAATTTATGGCTCCCGAATCACTGCACTGACCAGAAAACCCAACAAGAATTCAAGAACTGTGTTATTTTATGATTCAATTATTAAATAATACCCACTCATTTGGCAAACATTGCAATCTTTTTCTGTCTGTTTATGTCTGCATAAAGACAAAGATCCGCGATTTCTACCTTTATGGTCATTAACGTGCCTTATCCAAATTGAGGAATTAAAATAGCTATAAAATCTCATTTCGTCATTCTTAAAGCCTTTTATCATGAAGATAGAAATCCATTACGAACAAATAATCATTGCATTTGGTTGAAGCTTGAAAGCCTAATTATGCATCAAGTTTCAAGAAAATTCTGTGGTTAAGTTTGCCAAAAACGTTGAAGAGCTGGTTTGTATTTATCGCTTTCGGTATCAATCATCAAAATATTTCTAACCTCCTCCCCCCCAACTTTTTCTTAAGTTACAATTGGCGGAATAGAGGATATGCTTACTAAGTGCAGAAAGTATCATCTCTTAAATCTCCTTTTAGAGAGAATTGTTTAAAAATTTAAATATTATTTACATTAAATAAAAAACAGTAAGCAATTTTAAAAAATTCTTTATCTTCGATAAATATGCGATATAAAAGAGAAATTGATAGTAATCTTAACACGAATCGTACCTTCTAATCTTCGAATTTCTCTTTCCCGTTCAGCCGTTCTTTCTGCATACAAAATGAAAGATTAAAGAAAACTATACAACATATAGGATAAGATTATACGGTTTAATATCTAAATTTAAGTTACATGTAATAATCATATTGAGGATCTGGTAAGTTAAAAAAAAAATGTTCACATAAGTCAAGAAACCACTCGGTCTATATACATGTACATGTATCTTTGTCATATCCACCGTCACGGTAGCTCAGTCGGTAGAGCGCTCACTCCATGATCGGAAGTTTGTGTGTTCGAATCTCGGCCGCGACTGACAGAAGTCGATAAATATGGAAAGAAACTGTTCTTTCGCCATGAGCTCGGCACTTTGAAACGAAAGTTGCGGGTCCTGCGGATGAGACCTTAAAACCGAGGCCCAGTGTCACGGCGGGCGTTGGCACGATATAGATCCCTTACTGCTCAATGGCCCTGAATGCCGAGGAAAGGTCGAAATTTGAAGTCCTTCACTGGTATATGGTGACGTCTCTTTATGAGTGAAAAATTCTCGAATGGGACGTAAAAAAACAATATATACAAACTTTGTCATATCCAAGTAATTATAAATCCAGGAACATTCTGATCTATGCCTTTAGTTAAAACAAGCAGAAGTTTTCCAGAGGCAGACTAAATGACAACGGAGATCACCTTTAAGGGGTAATTGAAGGCCTAGGAACCTAGATGCCAATCGTCTTTTTACATCAGCATCCTGGACAACAGTGTCCGCTGCCATTTTTGATGTGGAAGCACATTCTACATGTAGCTCAACCGAGTACAGAAATAATCTACAGAGCCAATAATGAATTTCCCGGCAGTCGTCGATGAACTGTAGATTCAGAGTTCCATCATCTTTGATGATTTTCGTGGTCACGTTCTGCTCAAGCTCAAACAAAAATATACGAAGAAAACTCTGGTTTGGATTTACTTCTCAAAATTTTGTGGAGAACAAAGCAATGAGATGGATTCTAGGTGAAACTTCAAATCAGGGACGGAAAAATGTGCCTTATCAAACAAAACCAAATCATTTCTTTCAATAAAAAGTGAATATCCGCTTTTATAATCTTCTCCAGCCTATTAATTGAAAAATATAGGAAAAGGACACAGGGACTTCTCCGTAAAATTGTGATATTCTTCTCGTTGCATCAAATCAAAAAGGTTGGTGCGAATACAACGAACAATTCAGTCTGAGAAAATTTTAAGCCCTGTATTCCCTCATTCCTCATCGGGGTAGCAATTCTGGCCATGGTTACTGTTACCATTGCTCATAGTAAATATTTAAGACCCACATGTCCTCTTACAATATTCAGTTAGGTCAAATGTACCTAAGACAATTCAATATTCCATACATAACGTTAATTAAAAATGTAATTCTCCCCAAATATTAGGGTCAGACATCCATGCAAGTTGTGCGCTGAGAACAGTCCAACATCAAATGCAGAAAACAGTAACAGCTTACAATCTAATAAAAGCCTACAAACAATACAAATCTGTGAACAGGGCATAAAACACGGACCCCAGGAAATTCCATTGGTACGATCAGATGATAAGCTGTAAGCTTTATGTATTGATCAAGTATGCCAAATATTCCATAGTCAAAAACTGGAAGGATAAGCCGAGTCATGTGTCTACATAACGACGGATAGAAAAATCAATTTATTTCTCACAAATTCCACTTTTTTAATAATTAGGTAATGTTTATTACCATCAGCATACAAAATACCCATTTACAGTAACTGCAAAATTGAGTATTATTAACATATCAATATGGCAACACGCTCAATTTCCCCAAATATTGACATTAATTGGATTCAATAACTACATTTCTCAAACAGAGTGCTTCATCGTTCCATTTTTTTGAGAGCTAGAATAATGAATGGCAATGGATAGATGTTTTTGTTTACACTTAGAAATATGGCACGAAAACCCATTATACATAAAAAATAAGTTTTCTTAAACAATTCTGTTCTAAAATGCTTGCGAAATACGTTTTGCTGTTTAACTGTTTGCTATTTAAATGACGATAAATAAGTGAATACTTGCCGTAGTGGTCAGCGAAAAGCTGTTTAATTAATTGATTGATGTGTGTTGTTTTACGCCCCCATTCGAGAATTTTTCACTCATATAGAGACGTCACCATATACCGGTGAAGGGCTTTAAATTTAGACCTTTACTCGGCACTCAGGGCCATTGAGCAATGAGGGTTCTTTATCGTACTACCGCCCGCCGTGGCAGAGGGCTTCGGTTTTTAAGGTCTCATCCGAAAGACCCGCAACGTTCCCTTCAAAGTGCCGAGCGCTTGGCGAAAGAACAGCTGCTACCTATTTTTTATCGACTTAGGTAAGTCGCGGTCGAGGCTCGAACCAACAAGCTTCCGATCACGGAGCGAGCGCTCTACGACTAAGCCACCGTGACGGTTAGAGGCTGTTTAAACGGACATTTATTTTCGATTTTGATTTGGTTTTGATTTTTTTTTACTTTCAATGTTTCAGAATGGTTTAGTTTATAATTGAGTTGAAATGTTCTATGGGAATTAAACATTTTTCTCTGAAATTGAAATAGATGCATGTAATAATTAATCTATATACAGTTAAATATTTAAAAATTAAAAAAAAATTATTATAAATATTGAAATATTAAGTGTATTTCCCTTTTTGTTTGTTTTACTACTACGAGTGCTTAAAAACCCAAAGTTCAACTTGTATCATTATGTTTCAAGTATATATATAAATAATATCTACACAATATTATGAGTTAACACTCAATATACAGATAACAGTGTAGAAGTCTTGTCAAATTAAAATCTACATGTCCTTAATCGAACACGCAAGCAATTTGTATTCACTTGTGCGGAGCCTCCATTTTTCACCGGGTTCATTTTACCCCTTTTATACCTCAAATCAATGGACCTTTAAAATATTTGTAAGTCCGTGCTTAGGAGTTTGAACACGACAGTCCGGGGAGACGGACGTTTTCAAAACTTCTCAAGATCTATTTGATTTATGTTATATACATGGCAGACCACCGAGGGTTTTACGACCCAACCCTTATTTAGAATTTAGTTGTATGGTCCTGCTTCTCTGAGGTAAACCTTATTTGTGTTTGTTTTTATTATTTTATAAAGTTGTAAAAATCTTAAAACACCCAGATACTGAATTTCTAAAACATGCAACTTTAAGCTATTCGCTATTTGATATTTTTAAGTTCTGTTATTTATAGTTACTCGAAAATGTTTGAGTCTTAATTGTACGGTGGATTGTTTGTGTCTTTATTTGTCGGTTCTACGTTCTGTAATAACTGTTGTGTAGTAAAGCATTTATTGAGTTGTACATATTGCACTGTAACGTTTTCACGGTGTAAATTGTATGTCTATATTATTCTGTGTATGATATTTAACAGGTTTTCATCCTGTATAGTAGTGTAGAGATGATATGGCGTCCGGTACTATTCACATCTCTAGTCTTAAACGTAAGACGTACGTGTAACCTCCTCGACACTGGAGAGGGGGGACTGTAAACCTTCTCGCACTGGAGAGGGGTGTCTGAGCCTCCACAGCGGCAAGAGACAGTTAGTGTAGACCAAACACTGTTTGGAACAAAAATCTAGACATAGTCGACACTCGAGGCGCATGGACGACCACACACCAAACCAGTTTATTTTGTTGCATAATATTTTTTTGGTAATTAAAATGTAAAGTTAAAATGTAGAAAAGGATTTTTCTGTGATTTATTCAGGGGAGGTTGGATCACTATTCTCTAGGTCATTATGTGAAAAGTCTATACCTGTGTTTGACATTCTATGACGTAAAATGCAAGGGCAGGTGTTTAGTTTGTTTGGAATCTAAATATCTAAATAAATTGTATCATCATTTTGAGAAGTTCTGTACACATTAAATGTCCTGGTAAAAACTGAGATATTTCCGATATACATACTCGCAAAATGAGCATGGACTCGTATAATATAATCTCCCAGATTTTTTAATATAAAAATAAAGGCCCGAGAAATGGAAGGAAATTTGTCGGTCAAGATAGGATCCAACCCAAAGACATGTATTTGTTTATAAGGTCATTATAATGACCACAGAATTACCAAAACGATTTAAGACAAGATTATTGATGCCCCTGTAATATCAACTTATTTGCCAGTAGCCTGCTTATGTTAAAGAATTAATCGTACTTAGAGCATGCTCTTGAGTATCGAATACAAGTTGGGAGAATTTTTAGAAGGTTTAAAGTCCTTTCAAATTACAATGTGGTTATAGCTATCTCAAACAACATTTGTATGTCAGATACTTACTTGGAACTACATGTATTAAGAAAATTTGTACCTGTAGTGGGGGATTCGAATTTTTTTTGGTAAGTTGGGTTTTATCAAATAGGAATTTATTCGAAATATGACATTTTATGAACTTTCGAATTTCCGTCTACGTTGTAATAAAGATATAGCATCTACAAAGAATTGTACACAAAAATTCATAATCCTTAAGTAATTATTCACTTTTTAGTTGTATTCTGCTGAGAAACTTTTTCTTAAAGTTTATATACTATGACATCATGAGAAACAAATATTGTCATACCCCTTTCCTTTACAAGATCTGAAAAGAAATAAAACAAATCAAGGGTTTATGAATATTCATATATTACTTTTAAGATACATTTTTTCTGATTCTAAAAGCTTTTTTATTTCATTGAATAAATTATTACCGTCACCATTGCTCCACATAGATCCCATCTTTTTTTATTCAAAGGAGATTGAAGTTCTGTAACCTGCCATGAAAATAAAATCATTCTAGTTTAATGTATTTGAAAATGTGAGGTGAGTTCTATGAATTTGTACTTTATGTTTGATTAAAATGGTATGTATTATACAATGAAAAAATTAAAGTTTTATGTATTCTATATCACAACACGATTTTATACAGGAGCAGCATTTATTTGTAGAAAACTCGTGTGCAGTTGTATTCTTATACACACTACCTGGTTGAATATTTTAAGTATGTCGATCTTAGAACTGCTACGATTCCTAAGATAAAAAAAAAGGATAAAGAAAAAATAAAAAAAAAATTATCAAACAGTGCGATATTTAACTCTGGACTTTATCCTACCATTGCTAATTGTGATGGCAAAGAAAAAGATAAAAGTAATGGTTGGATTTTTAGCAGCATAACCGAAAATCACAATTATTTAATTTTTTAAATATCAAATCTAATGTTAGAATATGTTAATTTTCTTTTAAATACTATCACTTTCATAATTTTCTGATAGGATATTTCTCAAATTTGGATATTTTCTTCGACAAATGTGTTCCAATGTGATAAATCCTTTGGATGAAATATATGGAGATAACGAACAGTATTCAAGCTCAAAAGTCCGTTAAACAATACAAAATAGGAGCAGAGCAAACACGGACCTCTAAACATCAGAGGTGGGATCAGGTGCCATGGAGGAGTGAGCATCCCCTGCCGACCGGTCACATCCGCCGTGTGCTCCTTGTCATAATAGGGAAATAACGGAAAAATCCGTCGACAATTCAGTGTGTAAATAATGGCCTAACAATTAGTATGAAAAACGTCAGTCAGCATTTGACTCAATGATAAATTGTATTTGCTGACAAGGTCATTGTATCGACCATAGAACTTACGAAATGATGACTTTAAACGAGACAGCTGATATTCTTGTTTCATCAACTTGTTTGTCAATAATTTACCTAGTTTTTAGAAATTGTACATACGTAGAGCATGCTCTTGCGTATCGAATCAACTGAGAGATATATACCCCGTATGCAGGTGAAGAAGGTATATTGCTGCATAAGTAAGGGAAGTTGACGATTGAAAAGTTAAAGTCCTCACGTTTATCATAAAGCTTGGTTGTTAGATTACCATTAACGTCTTTTTCAAGTGATCAGTTGGACATTTCCTTCCATTTAGAATAAAATATGGGGTAAATCCCTTAGATTCTGATATTTGGGAATTTAATCCCATGAAAATTCATATATGAGGGATTAATCCTCAGTCCTTCTGAACAACATTGACTTTGCTTCAAAAACATTTTTAAACCATAGATTTAACAAAAGCACTGCAAAGCTTAGCATTCCCTTGCAAAAGAGCACATCAATCCCAATATACATGTAAATCATTACTTTTGTTGTCCATGCACTCACTCACACACAAGCATTTGACTATATACCCTCCAACTTCAAAGACTAAAGTTTTAAGAACTAAAGCAACGATCATGGATATGAAAATTTTATATACGAATACAAAGGAATAATCTTTAAAAATGTCTTCTCGAGAACAGCAAAAACTACATTAGTGATATTGATACAATAACATCCTAAGGTAGTGAAAATTCAAGTTTGTTCAAATATTGATCCCTGGGAAGGGTGGGGCCACAAATGATGATCAAATTTTGCCTAGGGACATATAGGAAAAATATCTTTGAAAAGCTTTTTAGGCAAAATATCTTTGAAAAGCTTCTTCACAAGATGAGGAAAGCCATGATTAGTCATATTTTTAGCAAAAATCCTCAACTGGTGTTGATCTAAGCTTCTTTAAATCATGACTGACGGGTATAGGGCGCTGCCACAATATGCAATCATATTTATACCTTAGAATATCTTCAGGTAGTATTAGATTAAATTTGTTCAAATCACGGCACACGGGAAGGGGGGGGGGGGCAGATTGGGCTTTAAAAGTTATTCATGGGAATATATTTGGGGGAAAGATCAAAATACTTCCTCTTACGAACATCAGAGTTTTCATTCATTATAAGTCACATTGATTGAAAGCATTCTCAGTTAGTTTAGAATTAAGTTTGTTCATATCAAGGCTCCTAATTTGGGAATATGATGAGGCTACAATAAGGGATCAGAGTTATACAATTTAAAAAGAAATACATCTTTTCAAGAGCGGCAAGATCAGACTAAATCATACTATTTAATAGAACATACTTAAAGTTAAAAAAAATAATGAGCAAATACTCTGATAAATTTCTATACTCAGTTACAATTCTTTATGTTTGCTCCAGATTTTTAAAGAACAAATTGGAATACCATTCCCATTAAACACCAAACAAAGACAAAGTTTTTACCGAAAGAAAATTCATCATATCGACATTTAATGTGCATAATTTTGGATGTATCTGTGAAAAGGTACAAATTCATGCGTTGTTGAATGTATTTTTATATCACTTTATATTTTAAACAATATACTGAATGATGTTTCCTGCGTCGTGCACTATTTTAGACCATTGAAAATATTGCATTATTAATGCACACGTCATTTCGTTGATTTCGCACGAGTCATTTGACATGATCCTATTGAAAACCCTCAGATATTTACTTTTCAATACCCAATTTAGTGAAAATATGGCGAAGATTAAGTGTTTACGTCGAGAAAAACCCCAATGGCGACCTTCAAAGGCCTTTTTATGATCTATAGCTTTTTTATCGTGACAGCGGCCCCACTTCACCGACTTCTTTTTACTAAAAGGCTTTGAATTTGTCATCAATAGTCTGTACCTACGTCTGTGTCGTTGAATTTCCAATTTATGCCTCAGTTAAGTGCACCTTTCCTTTTTTATCCTCTACTGAGATTCAGGTAATTTCTAATCTTCTCCTGTCATGAAATATACTTAAGTCACGGACTATATTGTTCTTTGAAGTACTATTGTTTAAATATACTATACGAAGCAATATTATGCATAATCAATATCTTTTATGCATAGGGGCAGGGTTTCCATCATCATGATTACTGCTGACGTCTTTGGTTCTATAGCTCTCTCGTTGAGCTCCATTTGTAGTTTTTTGAGTCAGAGGGGGTACTTTTACTTAACTCTTGGGCCTCTTAAATGGTATGATTCCATGTATGGGGAATTTAAATCAACAAATATAACACGAGTTGTCTTTTAAATATTCATTTACTTTTCTATTTTTCCACCCAAGAATGTATTTACATCAGGTTGTGGATAAAGGTATTTGTGATGCAATTAAAGGTAATATGTATATTGTTGATTTAACTTTTTTCCATGAATTATTAACAAGATATGAATTGTTTTGAATAAAATTCGTAGTATTATTTGCACAAGAATCTCGCTCAGAATCTCTCTGAGAAAGATAAATTTTATCTGGGTTAGGTAAAACTTCCTTGGGGATTTAGGATACACCAAAGGTTTCCAAATGCCGGAATTTAATTTGCATGTAATTCTTTCATTATCAAAGATAACGTAATAAATGTATATATCATTTGAAAGCTTGTTAAATTCACTATTTAATTATCCTAATTTAAACTTTAATTAATAACTTATTTAAAAATTATTTAAATATTAATGTAAATTTTAGTGTGCATAAATATTTTATAAATCAACTTTTTTGTATTTAACCCCTCAAAGTGGTAATTTTGCCTCAAGGTAGATTAAAGATTGAACTTAAAAACTGTATCTCAGATTTTTGATAAATCTTCTAATTCAAAAGTTACAGCCATTTGTCCTTCAATGTTAACAATTTATTAGCCTAATTTAACATTTCCCTCAATAATTCCAAAACTAAGCTAGATATCAAAAATCTGAGATACGGTTTTGTGAACACACATTTGAGAAATAACCCATCCAATTTTCAGAGAAATTGGTCAATAAATAAGGGAGCTGAATCCTTTGAAATAATACCACAAACTGTCTGATCTTACTTTACAGTAGAGGGCAAAAACCCATTACACAGCAAAATCTGCCAAAGCTAGGAATATATGACACCTTGGAGATTCAGCTTTGGATACCTGTCACTTAACCATATTTTCCATGCATATTCACAAGAATGGGAGGTTCTTTTCTGTATTTAGATGCTTTTAATTAAGTAAAATAGGTTCAATTCTGAATCAGAAAGATTTCCCGGCAAAATGGCAAGAGCTAAGCTCCACCTCCTATTTTATGGTCATCAGTGATCTGTTAGATCTCCTTCTTTAAATCTAGAGTCCCTGTAGTTTAATTAATGATAACCTCTGTGTGGCTAGTGAAGAATTCCCCAAGTGGTCACAGTGATTTATTGCGTCTTTCATGAGCAGGCAGTCACAGATGAAATCAGAAGCTTCAATAACGGAACATTCACATGTGGTTGTGTTTATGTTTCATTATTGTTAAATAATTAGAAAACCATTTCATAATTACCAAAAATTTTACGTGCATTATAAAGCAGTGATTAACTTCTTTTTCTTAGCCAAAAATCTCAAAATTGTTGAAAATCTTGAAAAAAGCCTTTGGTGTATCCTTAAAAAAACGATAAGAGAGAAAAAGCCATTTCAATCTTCCTCTCCACCGTCTTTGATAACATTTTAAATTTTCTTATTCTCTTTAATGAGAAAGGTTAAGATAACGAACAGTAAGAAGTATATACTATAATTGACATATTGCATATTTACAAAAAATATATATATGAAAATATTAATGCTACCACTATAATATGATTTAGTTCACATTTATGACACTTTTAACGCATTTTGTTGTAGATACTTATAATAGAAGAATCCAACTTCTTATGAAACATGAAATAAAGAGCAGATAGAAATACACAAAATGCAAGTAAGTTTACATCATCTATCGGTAAAGTGAAAAAAAAGTTTTCATTAAAATACTTACGTTTTTTTTTGCCAAAAATGTTCTTGTGATAGTCACAAAATATTTTCCAGTGACTAGGTATTTTTGTCCAAAATTTCCATTGGCCTTCACACTGAAAAATTATTGATATTGCGCATGTGTTATACGGCAGGTACCCGTCAGTT